TTCTTCTAAAGTTCTTCATAGAGAGAGAACGGTGAGGTGGTGAAACAGGCTGATGGTGGAACGGTGGATGCCCCTCCATCCCTGGAGATGTTCAAGGCCAGGTTGGATGGAGCCCTGGGCAGCTATGGAATGTGGAGGTTTGTGGCCCTGTATGTGGCAGGGGGTTGGAGCTTCGCGATCCTTGAGGTCCCTTCCAAACCTGACCATTCTGTGATTCTACATCAGCACCTTGGAGGACACACAGGGTATGAAAACGGTGCCCTGTGCCTTCATGGTATGCTCAGTATTGCAAGCAGGCTTAAGGGCTGTAGGGGCATTTCTCCTGGAGTTGCCCCTGAAAGCACATCAGGGAAGGTGTTTGAGAAGCAGCAACCAGGCCTTTTGTCCTGCTCAAAGAGGTGCAAAACAGCTGCTGACAGGCTGCAGGCAACACCAAAGCATTCACAAGTAGACCAATGGTTATATACAAAAAGAAGATCTAAACTCACCCAGCTGGTGGAAAGGATCTCTGGCCATGCAGCACTCCTCAGGAAGCAGCCTAGGTCCAAGGATGCTCTCCCTTCAGTGGCTGCCCCTGAAATGAGCCCAGGATGGCTCTGCATTGGGTGCAGCCCTTCTGGGCACATGGGAGAGCACAGGTGCAAACAATGTGCTCCTTAGGCCAACAGCACCCCTTCACCAGGTGCTCAATCACCAGCTCAAGGATTCCCCTGCTCTTTTCCATTTAGAACCAACGGTCCTTGAAAAAAAAAAAAGCTGCCAAAAATGTAAGCAGTTATTCTGATAATTTCTGAGATTTTTACAGCTGTGGAAGTAACACAGGTGAGAGCAGCTGCTCTTCCTACAACGTTGTCACTTTACAGAGGAGTCAGGGTGCTGAGAGAGGGACTCACAAGTTCAAGCTCTGAAAGATACTGAGGAATGGGATGAGGATAACGACACTTTTTTCTTCCAACACATTTATATCTGTATCTTTATTATACAGATATCTTTATTTATGTCTGTATTTGTGTGTGCAGACGTAATACATCCTTGTAACATTAAGTCCCTGTGTGAAAAAAATGTTTCCTAGATGCTGGGAAGCATTTAGATGTGAGTGCAAGAAGAGTTTTAAGCATCTCAAGCAAAGCATTCAAAGTGGCAGTGTTTGTTTACCTAAAAGAAAAATTACCAGTTTTAAAATGCCTAGAAAACACAGCTATCTTGTGTAAACTTGTCTGAGAGTTCTTGTCCTGGGGCTAAAGTGGATGTAAAGTGATAGTAGATATTTCCCATTTTACTCACCTGGAGGGAACTCGTCCCCGCTGCCAAATTCATGTTAATCAAGAGGTGAACAGGAATTGTCATAATGCAAGTTCTTGTGTTAGTGACAAAAAAATAAAAAAGAATACAATCAGAGGTTTATTGTGTCTTACTCTGTGTATCTTTACAGTATTATGTGCATGGCAGAAGTTACTGGAAAAAAAGCAGAAGAGTCATTGGCGGGTTATGGATAAATAGGTCAGACACACAATTACTGACTGCAGACTCTCGGCTGTTTCAGCTGCATGGCTGCTCTATGGGATCGATAACGCACAGAACGCAGCGCATCGGAAAATGGATTTGCACACAATACATCTCTAATACGCTGCAATTCAAACCAAGTGGTGATGAGGAGCGTTGACTTATGGTGAATTAGGGATGTGATCTGCGCTAATCTTTTCTTTCTCTTTTAGTTGTGTAAATTCTCTTTTAGCTGTGTAATTAAAACATCTCAGAAGCCTGAGCCTACTGAAACCAGAATGTCTTGATTGGCAAGCGCTGTTACAGACTAGGATGTAACTCTAATGGAAGCAACATACGGACCAAGCAGAGCTATGAGATAAACATTATATTACTCTGCAGACGCAGCAGAGATTTTGCCTCATGGTTGGTTGAAAGAATGGAGAAACTACAAACATTTCTGGAATATGCAAAGCATGCACTTGTGTTGGAATACCTTCAGATTCAGCTATTGCTTTGAAAGGAGGGTCAAATAAGAGCATATCTGCTCTTTACAGTCTTAAATGCTAGATGAATTTTGAAGATAGCACTCAGATGCTTATTCCCTATTCCTCTGTAAGAGCTGAAAAGTTGTAAGATATCCTGCTTTGTAACTGCACAGCTTTTTGCAGGACGTAGCAAAAATCAGTACAGCCTGATTGCTGCACTTGGCTGAAGCAGGCCTGGATTGGAATCTGAAGTCTCTTTGGAAACCACGAAGCACTTGTCAGACAGAGTTCACTAGCTGTGGACTTCTATATGAGGTCTCTCTCTCCATGAGAAAAAAAACCTCCATGGATGCCATTTTGCAAGAAACACACGTGGCCTGGTGTGCTGCTAACATTCACCTCCAGGACAGGAGCATCTCAAGAACTGGTCAAATACGTATTGGTTTGTTTCTGAGTGGATGTAGAATCATAGTGTGGGGTTGGAAGCAAGCACTAAGATCATGTAGTTCCGACCCCTCTGCTACAGGCAGAGACACCTCCCATAGCCCAGGCTGCTCACAGCCCATCCAGCTTTGCCTTGAATGCTTCCAGGGAAGAAGCATCCACAACCTGTGTGGGCAGCCTGTTCTGGAGTCTCACCACCCTCACAGTAAAGAATTTTTTCCTAATATCTCGTCTAAATCTACCCTCTTCCAGGTTAAAAGCATTTCCATGTAAAACCATATATGCTGAAAACGCAGTGCTAGCATCAATCTTTCTGGGATCCACAGAGTCTGACAGGTACATCCTTTCCTTGGGGGGGCACTGACACTGTCAGTGAAGCTCATACTTGGTTAAAGACTCATTCACCCAATGGCAGCTTGCAGTAAGAACATTTGTCAGGAGGTTTGGACATATTAGCTGTTACTAGATAGCAAAGTTATCATGTGCTGACTTCCCAACAAGCTTTTACTTGCAGCACTGTTCCTCAGCTTGCTGCAGAGGAATTGACTGTGGCACAGGATGATTCCTCTCTTCTGTGTGATCTGTGGAATGGGTCTCAGATTCTCTCCTCTCTACTATTTTCCTTCCATGCTCTAATAGAAACTATTTCAGTGCCTACCTATGGATGGCCGCAGTTTCTGCATCTGACTGTAGTCCCTTTCAACCTATCTGCAGGAGGTGCAAAGCTGTAGTGCGAAATCCTGTTATGAAATCGGGAATGCAGGCTAAACATAAAACTTGGAATGAGTTGTGTTTGACTATTAAGGGTAGAAGCCTTAGCTGTTGGGACGTTCTAAAATAGCTTAGAGAATGTGCTCTGTTGGAAGGCTCTTGCCCTCACACCAGAAGACCTCAAAGGATGGACTTGCTTTTCACTATTTCTTTATCTGATATCTTCTTGCCCTTAGTGGTAAATTTTAAAGAGACTTCGAGGAAAGGCTAGAGAGAAGTGCAAATGATTGCATTTAGAGCAGTGATGTAGAAACATTTCATTTTGTACTTGTCTTCCAGGACCCAAGCTCTCTATTGTGTGACAACAATAGAAATGGTAGAAGTGTAAAAAGCTGGACTCCCTGCCAATGTTACAACTTGTCGTTACTACTAAAAAAGGCAGCAAGCTGGGAGGGTATATCAAAGAATGAATCACTCTGCATTGCCTCGTTTCTTGCGCTTGTTTTCCACACATTTTCTGCTGATCACTGTTGGAGACGTAGGTCCAGGCCAAAAGCACGTTTGGATCGAGCCAGTGTGGGAGTGCTTATGTGTGCTAAGTTGTTCTGCAGTGAGATGCATGGTTCTCTGCATCAGAAATGGAATCAAGGTGCAGCTTTTCAGTTTCACTATGAGGAAAACCAGGTATGGAGTCAACCTCTAGCAGCACTGCAAAGCTCACACACAGCGTTTTTCTTTCTTTCAGTGATGCAAAGATTGTCTCCACCATGATTTCCACCACTGCGGTGCTGGATAAATGAGATGTTGTAAAATTCAAATCCTTCAGCCTTCATTAGCAGCAAAGTGAAGCTTTCAGCTAACTCACTTTTCTGTGTCCTTTACTTTCTTGCCTTGTGCTGATCTATGTAAATAATACTATTTTCAGACCTCTGGCAGGAAGAGAGAGACTCTAGGGAAAATATGCCCTGATTGGGCAAATCAGGATGATGGCACAAGTCTTGTAAATGCTATCAGCTCTGCTTTTTAGGGACTCTTTCAGACACATCCCTTCTCCTCCCCTCGCTAAGAGACCCAATGCTACTGCCAGCAGACTTGCAGTACTACAAACAGAAACTACCATCTGTGAAAGTCAACCATACAAATCAAAATGCAGGTTTATAGCATGCAGCATTCGCATGATTTGAAAATGCTCATTGCATGCACAGAACAAATAAAACCAATTTGGGTTTGAAGAAAGTGGAGTTTACTCTGGGACACAGCGTTCAGTATTTGCAGATCATTGGACAGCTCAGTCTGGTACAGATCATGCCTTTTTATGGGGACATTCCAGCTCCAAAGAAAGCAAATTCTTCTGAAACACATTGTCTTAGTTAAACTTCTAATATGTTTGGGTAGTGCTAGCAGCAGCTTTATATAATACAGTCTTGTAGTGCCCAACAAAGACCAAAAAAAAACCCAACCCATATTCTATGTGCTATTGAGCAACAGGAAATACAGCCAATGTGGTATTTTACTACTGTGAGATTTGCACAGCATTTTACACCTGGAATTGGGATGAATAACAAACAAGGAAGTGGATATCATCTGCATCCTCTCTTGTAGCATACCCGTGATACCTGGTGCTTGGAACCAAACCAAGTCACTTACTGAAACTCCTTTAAAATCACATTCATTTTGCCTTCTGTTAAGTTTTCATTAAATTCTACATGCGTATTTCACGTCCTTTTTTTTAAAATTTAATATACTACTTAACAACACCGAAAAATATCTGCAGTACACAGAATAGCACAGCATAGAACAGAAAAGAAAGTAGCAGTTTGGCTGGAAGGGACCTTTAAAGATCATTGAGCCCAACAGGCTGCCCACTTCACTTACTGTTAGAAAACTGTGCAGGTAATACTGCTGGAGGTCTTGCCTCATTTCTTCGTTCTAGCATCCTGAAAAACCACTCAGTAGTGCTGGTGGGCAAGTAGTTGCCTTGTAAGTAGTTGCCTTGTAAGTAGTGTCATGCATGGCTTCTGCAAGAATATCCATGTTGTGGAGTGCTAAAGGCTTGGATCCACGTTGAGTGCCTGCCATTCTTCTGTGTGCCTTGGCACTGCTGTCCTTGCAATGCTGTGATCCGTTTGAAATGCTGAACCGCATCGTGTCTGAAAACTATTTTTTGTTATGCAAGAAGGGAGGGTTGGTATTTTGGGTTTTCCTCTCCTTACTATTCTCCTCAGGACATTCAAATACATTCAGATACATTCTGATGTGTTTGTGATTCTGTAAGACCTTTCAAAATTTGTGTCATTTCACATGCAAGCCATCAGATGGGCAAAGTCATTTTCTGCTTGAGAATTATCAAAGCATTATTTTATTAAGAGCTGATCTCAAACTTATATATGCTTATTATTTCTAATATAGGGAACAGTGTCCAGGGTATCTTACAGAATATTAAGAGTGCCTGCCTGTTCTTCAGCTCTAACCTTGTTTTTGTGGGCCCAAATTCATTGCAGAAATGTGATCAGTGTGAAAAGTTGTGTGTGCTCCTTTTTCCTTTCCCACATGCTCTCTGTTTACTCACAGAGCCTTTCAGTTTCTTAGCCACTTGTAGTTTTGAAAAGCATAGAGCACAGCTGACATACCTTCATTTTGGAATGAAGCTGTGTCTTTGTGCCACATCTTCTAGATAGGAAGGAGCATTTACCTGCACTTTGCGTAGAACACTGAAGCACAGAGAGAAACTGAACTACAAGTTATCATCCAAAGTCTGAGGATGTCTGTAAATCTCAGCTGCTGGATTCTGAAAGGCATTCACCAGGTAAAGCAGGAAGAACTGTTTTCTCAAGGTGATGGAGAATGCTTTTACTTGACTGAAGCTTAAGTGTTGGGAAAAAGTCCACGTGAAGATCCAGCACTCGAGTGAAAATGAACAGTTAATACTTGTTCTTAAATCTCTGCCTTTCTCTTCGAATTATACTTAAAGTGGAAGTGCCTTTAGGTGTCCAGAATGTAAATATTTGGCAATTGCCAAGTGCGCTGATGAGAGACTGCAGACCAAGCTCTACTCTGATTGACACTGAAAGCTTCTGTGATTGGCAGCAGCTTGTCCCTCTCAAATGTTTCTTCTGTGACTTCTGTGTCAAGAGTGAATTCTTCAAAACCTCCAGTTTCCTTAAAATTTTAACCTGCTCGCTGGGAACAAGAAAAATTTCCCTTTCCCAGTATTCTTCTTTTCTCATTGCTCTTACTGCAGGGAAGAACTGCCTGAAAAGAAGAAAAAAACAAAGCACAACAACAACCCCCCCCCCCCCCCCCCCCACCCCCACACAAAAAAAAAAAAAACCAACAAAAACCACAACCTTCATTCCAGAGTCAAATTTGCAATGAGAATCTTGGAGTCTATTTTTGTCCAATACCATTTGGACAAAATTCAAGAATTTGATTTTTCCCATTGCTTTACTTTGTACTCCAGTTGACTCTGAAAGCACGGCCTGAAACGCTGAACCACAAAATTCAATTAAAACACTGGGAGTAAACAGGGAGAAGAAATCAATGAGTGGATTATTCTATCAGCTGCTGTTCCCATGATCTTTCTAATCTTATGCTGCACTACTAGAAGGGGTGTTGTGAAGCAGAGGCATCATAAAATCAGATCAAACACTTCATGCTCTGAGCACATAGCAGAAAATTAGATCGATAGCATGAGCCCATTTTTTTTTTTGCTTGTAAGTAGCTGGACTGCTGAATCTATCCATAGTGTGGAGGCTGATCTGTTTTTTAATCCTTCTCAGTCTCACTATGAAGTTAAACATCAGTTCTTGGAACAAACCTAAATCAGTGCAGATGCCAGGCTCCTCAGGTGAGTATTCACTGCTGCTGTATGCATCCGGTAATGAATTAAGACGTTTGGAAAAGAAATGTTGATCAAGCACGAAATTCCATCTGCATCTATTGAAAATTTCAGGCAGGAGGGAAATGTTCTAAAATTGCCATATTTACCACTTGCTCCTACCTTTGTCTGCTGTCACTTTGGGCTCCCAGCACAAAAAGACGTGGAGCAGTTAAGACGAAAGGAGGGGAGATTTATGTTAGATGGGAGGAGGGGATTCTTCACCATAAAGTGGTGAAGCCCTGGCACTGCTGCACAGAGCTGCTGCTGCCCCATCCCTGGCGGTGCCTGAGGCCGTGTTGGATGGGCATTGGCAACCTGAGCTGGTGAGAGGCCATCAACCCACAACAGGTCCTCTTGGTATAAAGAAACCTCTTTATATAGATTGTCAGTCTTCATTTGGGAAAGGCAACGAGCAGAACGTACTTTTATTTATGTCTCATGTCACTTATTCTTTTAGATTGGTTTACTGGTGGAATACAAGTGATGTACGCTTCTGTTGATAGTCCTAAATAATGGAATGGTCAGAGCAATGCAGGAAAAAGGGGTTGCTGGTGACTTCATTCCAAAAACTCTTACCTGCACTGTGCTGCAGAGCCACAGACTTCAAATGCCTTTGGTGATAAACAGAGGGAGACATTTCACTCTAGAAAATGAAATTCAGCATTCCGTGTTTACCTGGAAGAAGTGTTGCATCATAATAACTGTTTTCTAGTTTTGCAACACTAGCTCCAGTCCTTCATTTCCACTATAATCTTGGTCTCTTGGAAAAATAGTAGTCTCTAATTGGATTCAAGTGACAGATACCAATCAGGTGGAAGTTGATAAGTATTTGCAATATGAGACACAACGTTATATCATGATGTATTTCAACCACAGACCCTCATGTGTACTCAGAAAGTGTGGCAAGGAGAGTAGCATCATCCGTTTCCAGCAATATTTGGCATAACAGCATTGCTCAGGATAGTTTCAATGGTTTCCTGACCATTCATCATAGCAGTACAATGTCTCTCATGGGCACCTACGAGCTGCCATAAACATGTCTTCCTTTCTGAACTTCCTTCAAATATACTTATTTCTGTGGCAGAGAGAGGGACTTGGAAAATGCTCTGTGCAGAAGCCACGGGAGCTGATCTGCCACTGAGCAGGCAGGTGGCCAACTGAATGCACAGGCATACATGCAGACAGCTGAAAGGACAGATGTATCAAATCAGATTTATGAGGTCAGTTTTCCCAGCCAATAAAGCCCAGATTGCTGTCTGACCTGTTATAACCTTCCTGTGTTTAAACGAATGTGAAACAGATAATCCAGCATTTGGCGGAGACAACACTGACAGAATGCAAACATTATTTCTGTAGCCACATCAGATTGTTTTTCTAATTCAACACAAAGTGTTGGGTTGAAGATCTTTAAAGAGTTCACAGTATTTTTATACTGCTTGTGTGTGAACAAAAATTTTCTCAGTCCAAGGGAAGGGGCACAGTATACTTGTTTAGTAGCTTACTGCAGACAATAAATATACATCTGACTATAATGCTGCAATGGTAGATATGTTCTGAGCAGACCTGTAAATTGTATCTACTCCTCAAATGCAGAAAATGAACCCATCTCACTGTGAGAAACGTGGACAAAATGCCAATTCAAGTTTCATGCTACAAGCATGGTGGGAGAGTAAATAACATCCTTCTCTGCAAATTGGAAAGGTATGGATTTGATGGGTGGACGGTTCAATGGACGAAGCACTATCTGCAGGACCGAATCCAGAGAGAGCTATCAATGGCTCCACGTCTGGATGGAGATCAGGGATGTGGTGTCCCCCAGGGGTCGGTGCTGGGGGCAACGTGCTTTAATATCTTCATCAGTGATGCTGACAGTGGAGTTGAATGCGCCCTCAGCAAGTGTGCTGATGACACCAAGCTGTGGGGTGTGGGTGGGATGCCACCCAGAGGGACCTGAGCAGGGTGAGCAGTGGCCCAGGAGAACCTCATGAGGTTCAGCAAATCCAGGTGGAATGCCCTGCAACTGGGTCGAGGCAGCTTCCACCAGCAACACAAGCTGGGGGTGTAAGGATGGAGCACAGCCCTGATGGAAAGAACCACGCATGATGATAACTGAACATCTGATCCTTCCATGCCATACCACTAAAATTAAATGGCAGTATTTCATTATGGTGGTGTTGTTCAGCTGCTTAAATTAAAAAGTTGCATTTCTTCCTTTTTTCTTTTTTTTTTCCCAGCATTTTTCCATTCTGTAAAATTCTTTTTCTCAGCAAATGGGTCTGAATTCTTTCAATATTGTTTTTTGAATCTTTTTTTTTTTTTATCCTATGGGAAAAAATGCAAATTACAATATGAACGTTATATGCAGGACACTTCAAGAAGATACTGAAACTGAAAAGTAAAAATAACTTTCTGATGGGAATATATTAAATAACATTGAACATAAAGGCTCACTGGCAGTGTCAATTGCCAGCTGCAAAAACATACAGTATTAGGATGGGAAACCTACTACGAAGACGCAGGCACTTGGGAAGAGCACATTAGTAAAAATGCTATTTTTATTTAAAGGTTTGTACAGTCAAAGTTCATCTTTCAGTGTTTTTTAAAGATTAGAATTTCAATGACTTTAAAGCTCTAGGACCACACAACCCTGGGGCCGCCGTCCTCGCGGGGACCAAATGAGAAGAAATTAATTTGTTGTGTATCAAATCTTATGCGCGTCTTTGGACTTCATGAGCTACTTTTGTTCTTTTGTATTTCTGTTTTTGCTTTGTATTGTTAAACTGCAGAAATAATAACAGACAGTTGGTGCCTGCAGATAGTAGTTAAGGATTGTTGAAGAAAGTAAGCCATGCTGGGAACCATTATAGAAGTTGAAGAGCATAGAGAGATACTCAGATTCTGAATTTCACAAAGCTGACACTGAAATGTTCACCACAGCACCTTCACAATCAAAAAGCATCACTTCCCAAAACTGCACCTCGTCCATTTCTGTTGCATTTTATCCATGGTGGAATGGTTTTGTCTGACATCAAAAACACTTCCATAGCCCTCCTGCTGCGAGAAGGCAGGCTCAGACAAGCTGTCTCTTGCTTTCCTTTCTCATGCAGGAAGTTGTGACAGATTCTTCACCTAAACTTGTATTTTCCTTTGCCAGCTGCAAAAAATGACTTCCAATGCTCTTCTTTGGTAGAGCCATCAGGTGGGGCTCTTGCCAGAAGGAGGAATTCTGGTCGTTTATTCTAAGAGCTTTCTGGCATTTACAGAGATGCTAAATTGAAGGCTTTCCAGCACTTACAAAACACGTGTCTTTATTAGTAATTACAGCTGTTTGTGTGCATTTCTTGGGCTGTGCATTACAGCAGATGCTTTCAGAAGATGACGGTCTTTCCAGGTGCCATCTCAAAGTAAACATTACAGGAAGCTTTTTACAGTCAGATGTGGCTCTGTATAGTTTTCCCTCTCAATAGGCAACACCTGATAAATGGTTGCACCCTATTACATAACTTCCAGTGTTTCAAATAAGTTTCCATTAACCCAGGTATCAAAACAGAGGTACCATTTCCTCCTGCTCATTTCCTCACCTATGACATTCCTAAGGACATTTCTCAGTTTAGCACTGAGTGTAACTCAGTGGGAGTGTTTGCAGAGTGAATGAGTGACATCATGTTTGTCTCACCAACAAACAAGCACTGCGTGTCTTATTTAAATTTAATCTTGACCCTAGGACATCAACTTCTGTTGCCCTGGCCTAAATTTGCCTATCCCAGATGACTGTAGATGTTAATGGATAACATTGCATTTAGCATCTTACCATATGTTTTATGTCTTTTTTGGGATACCCTGATAACCTTTTGCATGACACAGAAGTTTTGCTCCAATTGCCAAAGGCACAGAGGTCAGCCAGTCTTCATAGTAGTTCATGTTGAGAGCACCGAATCTTGTCTTTTCTTTTGGTGGAGGAAGCACTACACAGAAGCACTGCTTAATCCTTACAGATTACTTACTTTATAGAGCTGAGCTTATTCTTTTCCCTCTTCCCTACCCTTCTCTGATGCTTCATTTGCTCACATTAACAAGTCAGTTACACACTGGTGAACAGACTCTCATTGTAGCATGGAGTGGTTCATACATATGAGATTCAGTGCCTGATCGAACACCTGCCAAGTGGATTTTGGATGCTAAGGATATTTGTTATGTAGGCAGAACCATACAAAATATTGCAGTTTTCAGACTTCAGGGTCCAGTTCTACTTCAGGGATATGGATGGCATGACTGTCTTTGGACTCCATGGCAAGGCAGGTTGGCTTCCAGATCACTGCAAGGCAATCTCCAGGAATTTGCCACAGCTTGTACTTATTCATGTGTGTTACACTGACTGACAACAGTGGTGTAAACTGGCATAATGAGAAAAGAAATGATAACATTCAATCTTTTGGGGCTGTTTCTGTCCCAGAACATTTCTCATGGTGGAAAGAGCAAGTGATTAGAATGTGGTGCGTCTGCTTCACCAAGAGAAACAAAAAAGAGTTGTCTGAGCAAGCTTTAGCTAGAGGCTGAGTTTCTGGCATCTTGGAAGAGAATGGGAAGTAAATCCTGTACAGCTGGGAAAAGATTCAGTGTGAGCTTCTGTGTGAGAAGGATTTGTACTGCGAAGGAAAAAGAGCTTCTGTCCTTTATCTTTTGTGCTTGTGGTTGCAGTTATTCCATTAATTTGATGATGTAAATGCTAAGCACATGGCGAAGATGACTTCAGAAGTCTGACCTTTCAATTTTCTTATTTCCCTTCCTTCAGCTGAATGGGGGAGGTAGTTATGGAATTGACAACAGACCCTGAGAGGACCAGATCAGAATAAGGTGACAGTGCGCAAATGTCAGACTTCAACAAATTAATCCCAGGATGGTCACCCAGATGTGTTTGCAATAGATAATCTAAATACAAACATAACGTTCTAATCTCTGCCACGGTGACTCAGTAACAGATGCTAAATGGATCCACATTAACCTTAGGGCAAAGCATCAGCATCTGTTGCATAAATATTTAAGGCAATATGTTTCACACAATATTTTGAAGGATTACTTTTTTTCTTTCTCTTTTTTTTTTTTTTTACAATTACAACCACATTTCACAATACTCAACTGTCCTTTGAAATACCTAAAAGAACAGGAAGCAGTGCAAAAACATGGAACAACTAAGTAAGTTAAGGACAGTAAAACTGGTGTGCAGCGTTCTGTGGTTTCCTTTGGATGCTGCTTTTGGGAAAAGAGGAATCTTTGATGAGAATATACCTTTGGTTCTTCAAATGTTATTAAATTGAAATATAAACACAGAATCACAGGATGGCTTGGGTTGGAACCCAAGGATCATCAAGTTCCAGCCCCCCTGCTACAGGCAGGGCCACCAACCTCCAGACCTGGTACTAGCCCAGGCTGTCCAAACAAAGCATAGAGTGGCATTTTCCTTCTGCTAAATTAAGCTGCAGTGTAAGGGATCACCTGGCACAACTTTTGACAGATTGGTGTATTTTAGATATAGAATCATAGAAAGGTTTAGGTTGAAGTGGACTTTAAATCCATATTGCATTAGCAAATTATTTCCCAGATGAGAACAAATCCCATATAGCCCTTAAAGCAGTGTAAGCTGATCCATCTCGGCAGCATTTATTTTCAGATAGTGTCATTGTTTCACTTTTATTGATTGCTTTCAAATTTTAGGCTTTACTTATGCCAGGATGGTTAATCTGTGGGCTCAGAGGGTTAATGCCTGATAAGAAATTCTTCAAACACGGTGAAGGAAACCCAAATTTCATCAGGGACGAGGCAGGGGACGGGGAGGATAAGGCATGACTGAGCAACGTAAACCAGCAATTGAGTGCTAATTCAAATACCAAACAAAACCACAGCAGAAAGTTCTCAGACAGACTCCCAGAGGACGAGTACATAACCAAATAAGTACTAAGGAATCTTGGACATAAAGAGGTCCTATAAAAATTGGATGCTGCTGAAAATATCACCTCCCACCCAGTCCAAATAATAGGTGATGTTCTAGTACGGTCTTTTATATTCAAGATCCTTTACATAAAGAGCCAGATTCAAAGTTCAGAAAGATCAGAGAGCAGAGCCTGGATGCCGTATTTAAAACAGCGATGTGGATAAAACTCTGTGCATCTCCTGTGCTACCATCAGCTGTAATCTTAACCCTTTTGCTTTAAAAATAATTAAGTCCCTAGAAGGACAGAGATGCAGCAGTCTTGGAAGGGCTCAGCTGTTCAACACGTACAGCCCTGAGGCCCTGAAGTGAAATGGTTGTTACAGCAGTGAATCCTATAAGGCTCCTTAAAGACTTGGGAAAAAAAATCCAATTCCCAATGAGCTTTCAGGTATGCACAAGTTTCATTTTCACTTGGTTGGGTTTTTTTGTCTTCTAGTTCCAGGAGACTTTCAAGTAAATTTCATTTGTCCTTGGTGTGATGTCTCCATGACCTGAACTCACTCTGGTGACAGGTAATCTTTAACTGCATATCTATAAAGTATAAACCATGACTGTATACAGTAGTGCATTTGGTCTTGCTAAACCATTTAATTATGAAGTTCTATAAGTGATGTAACTATGATAACTTCAGCACATTCTGCTTGACCAAATTTCCATGTTCTACATCTCTTCTGTGTAATTGAATTACAGGACTGCAGTATAGTGAGGCTGTCCAACAGTAAAAACATTTAGTATTGCAGACAGAGCCACAGAGCAGGGAAGAAACTATCCTGTTATCTTGTTTGCTTGGAGTAAGTCACTCTGGTTTTTTTTTCCAGTCTGAAGTTATATCAAAATCATTCAAAATCATAGCCACATATTTCAGAAAGCACAGTTCAGTACTGAAAGGACTGTCGTGACGTGAAAGCAGAGGTCCCAATACACTGCAGGGATGGGTTTAGAAAGTGGGCAACAAGACGTGAAAAGAGAATCAGATCAGAATTGTTTTGGGTCATGAGAAACATAGCAAAGGTAATGCTGGTGTGTTTTCTACACCATGAGAAGTAGGGGGCAACAGAGCTGGTCTCAGAGTAAAGAGAAGACGACTTTCCCTTGTGACAGACAGCTCAGCGCTGAACTTCTTGCTGCAGAATGTCACAGGCATGGAAAGTTTGCAGGAGTTCAAGGGAGAACACATTCCTGGAAAGGAAATCCTGAGAGGACTGCTGCTGTCTTCTGATTTAAGAAATTCCTAAAATGCGAGTTTCTGGAGAGTGAGATAATGTTGTGGAGCCGTTCATATGATGTGTGTCCTAATCTTATGCATTTCCATGCTTATCCTTTAGTCATTATTGTAGGAAATGAGATATTTAGCTAAGCAGATGTTTGGTGTGATTCACCACTTATGTTATGGCAGTTTGTATTGGATGGAGGTTCAATATTTGCTACATTTACTTGCCGCAGTGTAAACTGGAATTTATTACAGAAGATCATAGAATCATAGAATTGATCAGGTTGGAAAAGATCTTAAAGATCATCAAGTCCAACCACAACCTGACCATCCTACCTTAACTCTAACAGCAGCTCAATCACATCCCTGAGCACCACATCCAGATGGATTTTAAACTCATCCAGGGCTGGTGACTCCACCACCTCCCTGTGCAGCCCATTCCAGTGCTTAACAACCCTTTCTGTAAAGAACTTCTTCCTGATATCCAACCTAAACCTCCCCTGGCACAACCTGAGGCCATTTCCCCTCGTCCTGTCACTTGTCACCAGTGAGAAGAGACCAGCCCTGCTCTACAGCAATCACCTTTCAGGTATTTGAGGTATTTATCAACTGTACCCTGTTCTGTGGTGATCCACAATTAGGAAAAAAAAACCCAAAAAACAAAAAACCAAACAAGACTAACAAGGATTTGTTTCCAAGAAGCAATATATTATATTACATTAAACATAAGACCAAAAATTTTTGGAGAAGATAATAACGATTCCATTCATGAAATGCCACGCACATCTGAATGAATGCTTTTATTTGTCATAGTGTGTCTTCAAGATTTGATAAGTGCTGATGTTGAGCAGTTCAAACACACCTGCACATCTGCTGTGTTGATGCATGCATCACCTGCACGGTGTTTGGCACTCTTCTATACCACCACAGTACAGACAGCACCCAGACCTACAGGAAAGGCTGGCACTCTGCTGATGAGCTGGTTTGGACATTTACACTCTGCTGTGGGAAATCCTTACCAAGCAGCATACATTCTTTTAACTGACTTTCCTTTTTGGTTTCCATGCCTCAGTGGACTGATGAGTGGCTTGATGGAAGAAAAACTCTCCCTGGAGAAGATTTCTAATTTTGCTCCCTGGGTGAGCAGAAAATTTTAAAGAGCAGGCTGCAGGCTGACACTGGTGGAGGAGGGCTGGGAAAGGTCAGAGACCCCTGAATCATAGCTTTGTTTTCAGCAGCTCCGCTGGTGAAGCCCCCTAGACATTCTCCAAGGCTCTCTGTTTGAGAGACAGCTCATTTCCCCTCCTAGATTTATAAGACTGTTTAAAATTGTGACATCTTTAGGGCCCTCGAGGCCAGCATATATGGATGAAGCTGGGAAAACTGCAAACGCAGAATTAAATACATTTCTATAAAGGCAATGCCAGTTTTCTTCCACTAAGACTCTTGCAGTCAAGATGCTCCTACAACATAAGCATGAGCAGTTTGCACTGGAGGGCAAAATCCTCGAAACTCTGTTTCTCTAAGCTCCAAAACATTCAATTTTTACTATTTGTCCTTAAAATAATTGGGTTTTTTTTTTTCACTTAAGTGACACTTTCTGTATCTTTCATACAATAGTTGCAAATCGCTGTCCTACTACGGAAGTGAATGTTATAGATAGCAGCAGAGGCTTCTATCTTGTTTTGTAAATAAGTTTAAAAATGATTTCTTGAAAATCAAACCTTTCACAGCAATGCTTTTTGTATCAAGTTGTGGAGTTTAAACAATTTTTTTTTTTAATTACTGTTCTAACAATTTTAGGAGTTTTTTGGGGGTTTTTTGGGTTTTTTTTTTTTGTTTTTCCAAATGAAGCACTTCATTCTAAAGCAGAAAATCTCCATCATGGAAGTATTGTCATCTCTTTGTATACTCTATATATCTATATGTATATAGATATATATATATCTATAAAGTCTTTCAGGCTGCTATAATACATCTTCTAGAATGCTGAACTTTGGTTTTCTTTTACACCAAAGGCAGTAGAGGGGAACTATCAGATTCTTGCTAGGGAACAGAAAAATCTTCTATTTTTGTTCCCCTTTCCCTTATGCACGCTCAGGTGGGGTGCCTGGAATCATGCAGGATTCAGGAACCCCAGGAATTCCTTATCTGCAATGCAAGGTTAAAACACACCACATTTACCTTAATATTCCAGTGGGTTGGGTTCTTTTACTTTGTAGAAATGTGGAAATAGATGGAATAAGCAAAGGGATGGTAGTCACACACCCAATGCTACCAGAAACAAAGAAGTTCTTACCACGTTTCACACTGACTCTTGCCTTTTCCTCCTGAAAGGTTCATGGCATTCAGCATTTGATTTAACAAAACTTGATGATCACATCCATGTCTCTTGGCTGCTGGTGTGACAGTTACACGTGGATGTCCTTGCAGAAGACGATTACCTTTTGCAGTCTTAGCAATGGCAGTAAAATATGCCTTCCTAGGCCATTAGTCCTAGCTTAAAGCAGGAAAAGGAAGGATAAATGCATCTGACTGACAAAAATTCTTAGTTTATCTTCTTCAAACTTGACAGAAGTCTTACTTGGCACTTGCGAGGCATGTGTCATAAATAAGTGATTTATTTTTCATATACATATTTAAGTGCTAAGTTATACTGCTTTTCTTAAGGCATCGTATCAAATTGTATTATTCCTCCTAATACTGTGGGTCTGTTGAAATCTGAGCTCAGGCCTTGTTTCAGATTTCTTTTTTCTTCACTTCCTGCTCGCACAGTTCATCATGTGAGTGAAGTTTTTCCATATCTCGACTATTTCCTAGAAATAGTTCCTTTCCTTTGTACCATATTAGTACTGGCACACCAGTCACACAGATGGATTCTATCTGCTCTCATCTGCAATGAAATTAGTACCGAGTTCTTCATCTAAACCACTCCAGCATGCAATGTAATTCTTTTATATCCGTATTGATTTTTTAATTATGAAGATCAAAGGTATGAGTCAACCAACAAATAATTTTCAGTCTTCTTTGCATCTCAGTGTTTTTATGTCCTTGGACTTCTATTGACCAGAAGACCGTAGCTTTGCACTTGGAAATTGTTTGATTTGACAGGTTCTGTATTTGCGACATCAAAATATGTTGCTATGGAAAATGTTACAAGTTCTAATTAAAAATGCAGAGGTCACAAGTTTCCCAGAACCAGTAGGGCGTAGATCTTAGGAAAAAAGAATCACAACATAAAAAATCCAGAGATATGTCAGTCTGCAATTTTCCAGATCCGAAAGGAGTGCAGCAAGTGTTCAGAAAAAATACATGAGACTGGAATTTTGATCAAGTTCCCTTGCACTCATTCATATGCTGTGTGTACACCTTTCCCTTGGCACAAATTGCCTTCGCAAATCATGCACAGAGCTCTGAAATGTCCACACACAAATTAGAGGAGAGTTAGTAATTTCATGTAAATTAGTAGAGAAAGTAGACCTGCGTGGTGGTTCTTTCAAATCAAATGCCAGCACTGAAATACCCTCCACGTAACATCCAAGCATTCTGCCACCTACACGCATCCATCGCTTCCTTTGAAGGTTGGTCCATGTTCACTTATGACTCACTGACTCTCCTTCTCTTCATTACCTCTTTATTTGTTCAACTGTTTCTACATTCATACATTTTTCTTTGTAAACAATCCTTGTGACTTTCTGTTCCTTTTGCTCCAGTTCAGCCAAACCACAAGAACCAGTGGTGCAAGTGCAGGCCTGAGGCAGTAATATCTGAGCTGGAACATCTGTAAGATGTACCCACAAACTGTTCCAATCAGAACCTAAGAGTACCTCAGCTGCAATGAATTCATCCATGCTCAGTGCCATGCTGTTAGGAACACACCTGTTTTGGAGATTTTGGCCTTGCATAACACAAGACTTTTCCATTTTCACTCAAAATACATTCTGTTTCTTATCTTTTTATGGCGTTGGAATTCTCAGTGCTTTCTTTATTCTTTCTTCTTTTTATTGTTTTTCCAAAGCAGTGACGTGTCGTTACTACAGCATGGGACCAAGTCAGCTTCAGTTTCCTACTGGGACAGAATCCTGTGCTATGCAGGTTGCAAGATTGCAGTCTGATGGCTCCTCAAACCCACCTTTTGGGTTTCCTCACCCAAACGCTTTTCTAGATAATAAAAAACAAATATCACTTACCTGAGTTTGCCATAATACAAATGCATGTGAGCACTGTATCACAACTGCTGGGAAGCAGCTGAGCAGCAGCAGGTCTCGTTGTGTTTAATCTTCATCTTCTTGTATCAACTGAGACTCACATGGCCCACAGAGAATCATTCTCTTGACAGAAGTGCAATCAGAAGTGGGTAAGCAGACAATTGTTTTTATGTACATTTTGTTAAACCAGATGTGAATTTTGCAGAACGTTTCAGTTATCTGCCGAAGATCTCACAAAGGTACAGCATGAGACTTCATGAGGTAGACTTACCACAGTATGGATGTACACGTAATCTTTCTTTCTTTTCCTTTTCCTTTTTAACGATCTTTTCGGCGTTTCTGTAAGAATTCAATACTTGGTTTGTTGCCAGAGTTAACATGTGGGTGACTAACATGGCTGTGGCCTCAGGCCACAACCCTTAAACTGAGAAGATAGAAGGTCAAGTGGAATACGAGAGCATGAAATGGACTTTGTTGTTAGTATAGGCATTTTTTTCATAACTGCAGAAACTGGCATTGGGATGATGAATTTCAAAGCCTTTCTGCATCATTTCAGTATAATAGAAAATACCATAATTGATAAATCAACAGTAGAGCCCCTCTCCCCTCCCCCAGCACTACTTTTTCCGTTTTAAACTACCATGGTTAATTAGGACAAGGACTGGATGCCTTCATGAACTCTTAAAATGCCGATCTACAGTTTTCTGAAAGTAGGAAATGTCATTCATCTGTATTTAATTAAACTTTTTAAAGTCTATGAACAGAGCTCATTACCACGAAAAATTCTGGGCAGCTGCCTTAAAGCAGTTTCTACAGTTACTTCCTTCTTTCTCTGTTAATAAGGAAAGAATTTCTCAGATAGCTACAGGATAAATTTGGGATCAAGATCCAAATTATTTTGTTTTTTTTTATTGAACTGAAGCACTGCCAGATCTTAACTTCCTTATTCTAAGAGGAGAGACTGGATTCAGATGGCAGTTTAAAAGGCAGCCATGCTCCTTAGAAGGTACAAACCTTCTGCCTTACTCGTTTCTACATTGATAATTTACTTGTTAAAATTACCTTGTTAAAATGTAGACTAATTAGGCTAATCATTTAAAATTTCCTCCCGCTTAATATGCTATTAGAGACTTTAAATAATACTTTCCTCCTTTTTCTGTACAGATAGTACAGATCTTTTTTCTGTCACAAAGCAACAGAAAGTTACAGTCATTTTACATGAGCTTAGTATTTCCATTTTCCTATGTTAATTGTGGACATACTTTTATTGCTGCCTGCCTTTCCTCTTAATTGATGCTTTTAAAAATAAGGCACATACTGTGAAAAGGCATCATCTTTAAGGGACGTATTACATCATACCAGCCACTATGAAGAATTAACTCTATCCCAGCCCAAACTAGAACAGTTGCAGTGCTTCCTAGGAGAATCAGTGCCAGCTCTCAGCACCACATATACTGAGGACTGTTGTTTCTCATGCAACAGCTAGAAAAACGTCTGGGGCTTTGCCTAGAAGTTGACAGACAAATTTAAATAGTCCCTGTAAATATTTTGGATGTAGAAATTGAAACCAAAGGGAAGTTTACTTACTATGTTTGCTATATAAAGGAAGTTACTTGCTATGTGTCCTATAAAATACAACAGTTTCTTGCAAGGCTTAGCAATGAGCTCACATCTACCCATTATGCACTGCACACACTTATGTGAAAACAATCTGGGCATAATAATCAGCGTTTCCTGCACCATGGCTCAGTATCCTTTTAAGCAGCTTAGTTCTTGCTCTTTCAGGTTTTGGTAGCACTTTGGTTCACAACAAAGGGCAAAGTTCTTGATGAATTAAAATGAGGGCCACTCTGTTTGGTCGCTGTAACCAACAGGCATAGCTGATCACCAGGTGACAGTTCTACGTTCAGAAACATTTGGATCAGTATCTTCCAAATGTTCATCCCAGTTGTCACAAAGAAAAACGGCGTTGTCTTCTGTTGTCTGACACCTGGCTGCTTTTTGGGGTTTTTTTGGGTCATCCATTGATTTCCAGCAGGGAATCATCAGGCCAATGAAACTGTACAACAGAGTCACTTTTGTACTCTAGAACATACAGCTCAACCTGTTTAGATAGCAACAAATAATTTGTACTAAGCAAAAGCCCTAATGCATGGTAAGATAGTACTTATTTTCTTCAGAAATTGAAATAAATTTGAATTTGCATCAATTTCCATCCCCTTATAAGAAAATTCTTTGCTTTCTTACTTCTTAGGCGTATGGGCTGTTTTAATTTCATTAACAAAAGTGACATTTTTCTAGCTCTGTGTCTAAACTGACTAATCCAAATTCTGAATCTTGAGGGGGGGTGGAGATCAAGAATAATTTCAAACTAGAGCTGGACGTCGTACAACACAGCGGTCAGAATCTTCCTGTTTGAGTTCAGGGTTTTAGTTTGGTCAGTCAGAGGAACTCTGTGTGGAATTACTCACAATCACCAATGGCTCCAATACTTCATAAAGTTATTCTGGGAACTTTTCTTCTAGGTGGGTTATCAGACATAGATGGAGTCTCTTTAGAACAGAGCTAGCATTAAGTAATTAACTAATAGCTGATCTCATGCTTTGGTAATAAGGAACTAGATTATTAAAAATGGGCAGATAGGAGATGGAGAGAGAAGAAGTTTGTTTAGCTTCATCATTAGAACTGGTGCTGGCTACGACCAAATTAATATAACATCTTTCCCACTGTTAAGACTTTATGTTGCAAATCTTTAAAACACATCTGTCATGTTCTCTTTAAAATAAAGGAAATAAAAGCAGATTTTTTTTTAAAGAACTGTACAGTCTGGATACATTTTCCATTTTTCAGTTATCATGCATGTCCCATGGAAGTCAAACTACAGAGTAGCTCTGGTCCTTTTCTAAATGTTAGGTTTTGGATATTTATTTTTTCTCACGTCCTTCTCTTGGACACTGCATGCAGTAATAATAGGCAGACCATCTTAACAGCAAAGCTTCAGAACAACTAATGTTGTATTATGATCAGAGGCATAAGAAAGAGACTGTTAAGTCAGTGAACATGGGGAAGGTAAATGGGGAACGACTATTTCTCTTACTTTTGCAATGCAAGAAATGCAAGCTCCCATCTAAATCAACTAGTAGATGATTAAAACAAGGAAATGGAAGTATAAAATGTATTCCATTGACAGAGGGTACTGTGAAAGGTAAAAGGAACAGCTGAGACAAAGAAGGGTCAGGACAGTTCTTGATGTATTAGGATAGTGTGTTCTTGAGCACAGGTCACAAAAGAGAAAAAGCTCCATGGTTTTGTGACTGCATTATTCTCTGCAAGTCGTGCTGCCCATTCATGCCAGAGAATTCAGTCCAGTGTTGGTGTGGTTTTGGTTGCATTTTTTCAAATAACATGGAGCAGAATGAGATGAGCGAGCTCTTCCTCCTGTTACCATCAACTTCATAATAGAAAACTATATAAATCTCATAAATGGCTGGTCAAATAAGTGCTGACTGTTGGAGTCCCCCAAAATCTCTGCACCTACTTTGACAAATTGTGCTCCTTCATCTGACTCTGAAATTGCAACTTAGAAGAGATGCAGCACTTTCTAACTTGAGGTCCTTCATTTTCAGTTTGGCCATACGATGTGTCGTCTCACCAGACTGTGGTGGGACAGCTGGTTTGCAGTGAACTCGAAGATAAAGATAATTACAGCGTCTGCAATTTGTCCAATTCACTTTCTCTAATTTCCTGTTTGCTGGTGCTCAAAACAACAAGTGCATTCCGTCATGAAAGGAATGAACCTACTGACAGGGAATGAGATGGAGTGGAAAGCAGCTGTGCTGCTGTTACAAACAAACTTTGTTCCAAAAACTCATTGATTACATGTACCAGAGCAGTGATACCATGTGCAAAAGAAGAGCAGCTCCATACTTCCATAAACTAAGGATGCAACAGAACATGTCCCTCTGGTGCTTTGAATTCTCTCATTCAGGCTATCAAACTGTAGCCTTAGGGATGCTTAGCAAAAGGGAGCTTGTACAAAGTAGGCAGGTTTTCACCTTATTTCCAAAACCACTGAGTTTGAAGTTCAAAATCAAATAACTTTCTATTTATTAGCAACATACAGTGAGCCAGTGTTTAAAAATGGCATCTGGCTGTAGTCACTGCCTGTGCCCCAAACCATATTTTCAGCTGACAGTGAGCCATGATGCTCACTGATGGGAGGTGACCCATTTTTCTCTGCGCATTCAGTTTGACTTTCTCTCCTTCATGCTGATTCAGCCATCTGGTAACTGTATTACAGTGAGTTTCCTGATGTGAGATGTGCGTATCCAGGGGCAGGGGACATTGCCATGACTCTTTGGAAGTTTCAGACTGATTATGGAGTGCCAATGGCTTGTTTTTCCCTCATATTCAGAAGCACTGTCCATGCTGCCAAATCAAAGTGAAGTTAGGGCAGCTGCCTCTGCAGGTACATTTGTTTTTAATCACTGTTTCTACTGTACTCAGGTCAAGGGACTCAAAGTGAGAAGGAAATGATCACAGGAAAACAGAGGTAAGATAGTAAGTTTGTTAATATCTCAACATTTACCCCAGTGCAGGATCTGTTTATTCCTGTGTCACTTCTGCATTTAAAAACAAATCAATAACACTAGCACAGTGTGTGATAATGAAAAGAGAGCATGAGGAAGCATGATGCTTAGATGTCCTTTTCTACGGGTGAATGAAGGAAAAGGCATTTCTAGCTACAGAGGTCTTTCAGAAGTACCTAATTAACCAAAGTTACTCTAATTGAATAGCTTGTACCAATGCTCTGTAAGCAAAACATGCAGCAAACAACTCACTCTTCTCCCTTGATCCATGTAGTCCAGTCTTGTCTCCTCTCATCTAAGACACCTCTTTCTCACATTTCTTCCACATTCCAGTAAAAAGCATCTGAAATGTAAAGAAACGTCAAGAAAGATTTCATATCAGGCTTGGTTTGCTCTGAAACTCTCTTTCATGCAAGGGAGAACACAAAGAAATACCACTGGCAATGCAATTGACAATAATGTGGCAAGAAGTCCTACATTTACTTGTAGTGCTACAGAATACACCAAATCCTTTAAAAACTTCAAAATGCAACAGGAGTGTAAGCAAATAGTTTCAGGTACCTGTCTGTATCATCAGAGATGGGAGAACTGAAGAAGCTTCCTAAGAATTCATTCATCCTGATCACTTTGCCTCAGGCTCACTGAATCACAGGTTAATTTATGAAGCCTTTTTTTTTTTTCATGGCAGAACCACCTTTTGTAATTAATTCCAGATGTAGTAATTAATTCTAGATGTAACTCTGGAAATATTCAGAAGCAGAAGCGTGGCCTATTGACAAACAGCTCTCATTTTCCATTGAAAGCTGTGATGATCTAGAGAATCAATCTTACACAGTATCTAACCTAATTAATTCTATGATGCGGATTCTGTAGTTCGAGGGCCACGTCACAGCTGGTTTGGAGCAGAAAGAAGTGGTTAATTTACAACTATTACTTCTATAGCTGGAGAACTGTTCTGTACCAATCTCACCAGAGCTTCGCATGGAAAACGTCCTCAGTGCAGAACAGTGAAATGAAGCTATCAACACTGACCTTTAGGAACTAAAAAACTTCTGTGCCTCAGAGTGCCTCAGGAGTGTTTCTGTATGATGGACACTTGGATGCAGCCAGTGGCATCTGGATGTGTCACAACTGTGTATTTACTTTGTAATTACGGATAGAGTAGCGACTTGGGATTGGCACAGACATTTGTGTATAGCCTGCAGAAAAGTTACTATGGGCAGCGTTCAGAAAAGTGCTCTTACACCGCTATTCAATGAGACTTGCATGCCTGCAAAATGTCACATTATCTTCCTGATTCCTTTTTGCCTTCTGAATGAGGCACTCTCCCCATTAGCCTCAATGAAGGCTTTGTTTTTGTCTTCAACACTCGGAACAAACTTTCTGGCCAGCAGAACGAAAATCGCTAACACAAAGGATATTTTTCTTCTCTAATTGCCATAAGACTGGGAATATTGCTTGCTGTCAGACTGAGCTGAGAGCCTATTGAAAAAGACTGGATAAACTGACAAGCTTTTTCTCCATAGGCCCTGAAGTGTGCGTCCCACCAGTAATGCTTTTGAAAAGATTATTTGGATACTGTGTGCCAGATCTGAGGCCTTATCTCTTGGAAACTGAGCTCTGTTAGGGAAGAGGACCGTCTTAATGCTGTCATATTTAGCATTATAACCTATCACACTGATATCCTACATGGGGTTACGTGTTCAGAGATCAAGACCTAATAGGGAAGTGCTAAACTCCCTGTCCCTGGAGTTCAGACTCGGCAGAAAAACACAAGGGAATTATCCTATGGGGGCTCCTTGCAAACATCCCTCAAAAGCAGATTTTAATAAGAAAATAACATGGATAACTGTTCCTAGAGCCTATACGGATGTGCTGAGATGTCTAATTGTCTGCAGATATGGTCCACGTTGATAATAATGACCACTTGGAGAGGTTTCTTCTACTAACTTTGAGGCACTAGGGATTCAGCCTCAAAGAAGCCTGCGTCTTTTGATGGTGAATAATCAGCTATGAGAATACTGCCTGAAATTAATTTGTGGAGTAATACGTGGTCACTTCAGGAGGAAAAAAAAAAGGTAAAGACAAAGGTTGTATGGTCATTTGATGGATCTGTTATAAGATGTGGGAACACACTGCACAGGGTTGCATCCACGCGGGTTTTGGGTATCCCCAGGCGAGGCACAACCTGCTTCACTGTTCTGCCCTCCTCATGACAAACAGCAGCACCACATTGTTCTAACCGCTCTGCGCCGCAAGCCCGCAAATCTCTATGATATTTGGTCCTCCAGGCGGTAACACGCACGCGCAAGGAAGTAGCCTCTCTTTCCTCCAACCCCTCTGCGCTGCGAGTCCGCCGACGTCTTTGGTCCCTGGTCCTCCAGAACGCACTACGCACCTCCCGTGACACGCACAACTGACACAAACCTCCCACCCACAGCCACCCGCGTTCCACCCTTACGACTTCTGCTCCCGCTTCTGTCTTGCTTCGCGCGCTTCCACAGCCGAACCAACCACAAAACAACGCAGCAGGCCCCACAGCCTCAACACAGCCAAGCACCTCAACTACCGCCACCCCACATTCTTCCCCAAAAGACCTCTAATCGCGGATCCTCATCATAAGCCACATACTCTGAAGGCAGGGCGAGAATTCCTAAGCCCATCAGCAGTTCCCAGTCCACGTCCCCCATTCATTCCGCACTTCCTCTTACACCTGCACCCCTCCACGTGCCCGAGCGAATCCATAAACTCACTCTTTTACCTCACCGCTGCCTCCGCGCGCCCACTGATTGGCTCAGCGCATCCGTAATTTACATATAACCGCTCTGCGCCTCGAGTCTGCCAACTTCTATGGTGTTTGAGCCTCCAGGCAGTGAAACGCATGTGCACAGAAAGCCGGAAGTGATTTGCCTAAATTCTAGCTGCTCTGCGCAGAGAAACCACCACTCTATGGTAACTGATCCTCCGGCAGTAGTGCGCGTGCGCCAAAGCAAGCGGCACTTGCATGGATTTACGCTCACGCTCAGACCGGGGGAGCAGCCAGCCCCTCTGCTCCTATCGCCGCGTCCGATTGGCTCAGCGCCGGGGCTGACTGACAGGTGCCCGCCCCAGTTCCGCGCATGCGCACTGGCTCTAAGGCGCTCCCCGTTGCCTCGTATTGACTGCAATTTGGTACTGGAGGCGCTGCTGCGGGCTGAGGCTCTCGCTTAGAGCGTGGATGGCAGAACTCTGCGGTGGGCTGAGTGCAACCTGGAGAACCCTGGGGGTCTCTGGGAGTAATCTCTAAGTGAATTTGTTGTGGCAGAACAAAAGAGGCATCACTGCTTCAGGAAGCTTCACATGTTGGATTAAAACGCTGAGATTCGTTCTATACAGTGCACTTTAGGGTGTGCTTGAGTCCACTGGGGTGTCTTTGGAAGCCTCTAGAGCACAATGTGAGACTTCTACATCATCCTAGTGGACACCGAGGAGCTCTGGGAGTACCGCAGAGTTCTTCAGATTATGCCGGGGGCATTTTGGAGGCATCTAGGGCACACTTAAAAGCCTCTAAGATACCTAAGAACACATAGAGGAGCTCTGGAAGCACACAAATGTTTCTCTGAGTACATAGGGTGGCTCCTGGGAGGCCTGTAGGATGCCCTGAGAAGCATCTAGAGCAGCACAAAGCACAGTGAGAAACCCTGGGAGAACTCACTGGACATCTCCAGGAATCCAGCAGGACAAGGGGAAATGATTTTAAGTTAAGGGAGGGAAGATTTAGGTTGGATGTCATGGGGAAGTTCTTTACAGAGAGAGTGGTGAGGTGCTGGAACAGCTGCCCAGAGAGGTTGTGGATGCCCCATCCCTGGAGGCATTTGAGGCCAGGTTGGATGGGATCCCGGGCAGCCTGGGCTGGTATTAAATGTGGAGGTTGGTGGCCCTGCGTGTGGCAGGGGGTTGGAGATTCATGATCCTTGAGGTCGCTTCCAACCCGGGCCATCCTGTGAATCTTCCGCGGTGCCTGGAACACACCGGGGACTCTTGCTCAGGGCAGTGCCTGCAGTACCCACCGACGTCCAGCAGGTGGCAGCAGAGAGCCGCGGCGCTATCGGGAGGCGCGAGAGCCGCTCCGCGGCATTTCCAGCACCGCTCCGGAACCCGGCTTTGCTGCCCGGCTGCTGGTTGCCCAAACAAGTAGCGACAACGTATACACACAAATGTCTATCCGCTACTTAGTGTGGCACAACATCGAGCTTCCAGAGCTTGTTACTGCGCTGTAGAGCGCCCTGTAGGGTGCCCGTCCTTCTCCTCTCGCCTTTCCTTCCCTTTCCCAGGTGCTCTCCTTGCTTTGCTTTATTATTCCCATTACCTTTCTCCACATTGCTCAGAAATTCCATTTTCTTGATGAATATCAAATCCTAAAGCACTGCCATTCTATTAGAGTTATCCGGTTGGGTTGTATTGCATTTTGCATCTCACTCTAGGGCACCAGAACATAGAAGCAGATTGTGAGGTCTGATTTGGGGAAGGCAATTCTCTTGGTGGGGTCAGCATGGAGGGGCCAGAGCCCCAACCACAATAACCCCAATCCTAATAAAGCCCAGACCCCAAAAACAATACTAATCATCAGCCTAACAACCCTGAAAATAGCTGTAATAACCTCACAAAGCTTCTAACTCTAATTCTAATTCTTACCCCTAAACCCAGCACTAAAATTTTCTCTAATATTAATAACGTGGCGAAGGCTGGCAAAGCTGAACAGAACCCAAAGGGACCTCAGCAAATCCCAGCACAGAGCAGCGAACCCAAATCCATTCGAAACTACTGGAGAGAAAAGGGAAATCCCTTCCTTACAGTGAAAGAGGCAGATCTCTAGAGAAGAGGAAGCAGATAGGGAGCAGCTGTCAAGCGTCCCATAAATCAGCAGGACGTTATAAACACTGCCATGCACTGCAGTTAGGAAACATCCAACAATACTTCAGACTGTCAGTACCACCAGGAAATAAACAGCAGCCCAGCCTGGCTCTCCCTCATTCCAGGATAAGTTTCTACAAAGCCTGACTGATGCTCTCTGGCACTTCCACCTCTTTGCACTGCTCAGGCTGACTTTAAAGCTCCTGGGAGGGTCAAAACCACAGAACCAAGCAGCCTTCCCCCAGCACACCCAGCATTTCCAGGGTTTGCTTCCAGCCTCTCATGGTTTATTTTGCACATACACCTCACAGGAACCCAGGGTACGTGATAAGCTGCAGCCAACTGCAAAACCACAGCTGATGAGGCTCTCTGCAGAAACCAGCATCATGCTATTTCAGAGTTTCGTTCCTCTGGCTGGCACTAGACGTTAACGAACAAACTCGAAGCAGTAGCACGCTACACATTTGTGGTTTAATTCCTCTTCTCCTTGTGTGGATGGCAGCGTTTATGACTTTTTAAGCAGATGATGAAGTGCTTCATCAACAAAATGCACCATTGCAAACTCCAATGGAGGCTGTCCTCAGAAATCCACCCACACTCATCTTTTCCGTTCTCTGGTCAGAACGCATCCAGCTCAGGTTTCCAGCAGGTGCTTTCATGGGTAGAGAAGAGTAATCTGGGCACGTTGATGCCATGGCAGCACTTCCTATTAGTCACAGAATTGTGAAAGTTGGAAAAGAGCTCTAAGGACGTGAAGTCCAACCATCAGCCCATCCCCACCGTGCTGCTTATTGCCCTTCCTTTGGTGAGGTGCTCAGGGTGCAATTATCACTCCTTGCAGCACAGCAACACGTCACAGAGAGGCTGCTCCCAAAAGCCATGGAAAAAGAAAAAACAAAAAAAGGCTGATTTGAAGTTTACCTCAACCCCATTCTGCTGAGCCTCCCTTCCTGAACCAACAGGCACCGACCTGCACAGAGCCCTGAGCTGTGCCAGCCCCTCAAAGGACAGCAACTGGACAAAGCACCTCAGCACCAAATATGCCAGATGTGGAAACAACACAGAGCCCAGCCTGGAGGAAGAGAGATTTGTAAATAAATGCCAGCAGCGCCCAGAAATGGGCTGAGCTGTTGGACAGGAAGGCTGATGTGCGCAACCACTCGTGCCTTAGAAAATATAAACCCAATACAAAACCGTGATGGCCAATTAAGCCTCAACCGCAGCTGTCACGTTGTAACAGCACAGACATGGACAAAGTTGGCCATCAGGTCTCAACTCTGCCTGGACGCCAACAGCAGTCAGGCTATGGGATGCAGGCGGCGCATCTCACCCAATCCACACTGTCTGTGTGATGGAACTGAATGGCGTATCTCAATTTGTAACCCGAAGCCACTTTCGGCGTTACTGTCACCTTTACGCCACAACTCGCCTCACAGGCGCTGCCTTCCGGCCTACAAGTCCTGCCCCTCCCCAGCCGCCATATTGGGCGCGGCAGAACCGGAAGGCAAGAGGGAGACGCCATCTTGGTTGCTCGATTTGTCAGGGGAGGGAGACGCCATCTTGAGAGTGGCAGAACAAGAATGTGGTACAGCGAGTAGCCATCGTGAATGCTTGATTTGGCACAGCGGGAGAGGCCATCTTGAGAGTGGCAGAGTAGGAACGGGGGCAGCCATTTTGAGTGAGACATAGCGGGTGGGAGACGCCATCTTGAGTGTGGCAGAACCCTTTCCTCCCCACTCCTCCACTCCCTTCAAGTTTAAACGAGACAAACAAAGCAAATTGGAAGTTTTTATCTGAGGAAATCTCTATCTGCACAGCTCTGAGCACCCACTGGGAGGGCGCTGTGCAGCCACAGCCCAGCTCCCACACACCCACAGCCCTCCCTGGCTTTTATAGCCACGCATTGTGTCCCCATCATGCTGGCGAGCCGCACACAGCCATCCTCCCCTCCATCCATGGAAGCCTCCAACTGCTCCTCACCGCTCACCTGGAGGAGGAAGAGAGGAGAGAAATGAGAGGTTTCCCAGGGGAGGGCAGCCCACCCAGCAGCAGGTCGCACCTGCCCAGCACCGCCTGCACCGATCTCCTCAGGGCTGCGTTGCTGCCATCCAGAGCTGCTGCCAGACGGCTGCGGTGGGACGGGCTGAGCTGTGGGGAGAACAGATGTGGAACTGCAGAACAGGTTGAAGGGAGCCGTGAAGGGTCGGTGGCTGCAAGGCTGCGCTCACCTGGCTGCTGTACGTGGTCAGCACGGCCATCACCAGCTTGGCGTAGCTCAGCGATGTGGCAAAGGCTGGAGCCTGCTGGCACAGGGTGAGCACCAGGAGGTCAAAGAGCTCAGAGGGCAGCGGCTCCTGCAAGAGAGCGGGGAGCACTGCAGGCCTTCAGCCCGGCGCTGCTGGAGCTGCACACGATGCAGCCTCACCTGCCTGCCCAGCACCGCCAGCACCACCGGCAGCAGCTTCTCGGTCAGAGGGACTGCCAGCACCTGGCTGCAAAACACAGGAGATGTCTGTGCTGCTCACATGGCCTCGCTGGCTGCGCGCTCTGCAGCTCGTCGTCTCTCACCCCAACACCATTCTCACGTAGTCAGGCTCCAAGCACTCCTCTACAAGGTCACACACCAACTTGATCTGCTCTGCACCTGCAGGGGTAAAGCTGAGGCTGCCAAACCCATGTGGGTGTGCTGACCCTTCCTGCTGCCCCTTTCTGGATGGCCCAGTCAGGACACCCAGAAATCAAGTGGTGCCTCCTTCTGCTGTTTGGAGAACTCAGCATCCTTCATTCAGCTGCAAAAGCTGAACTGCCAACAGCTCCCAGCAGTGGGGGATGCTACCCTGCTGAAGGTTTAGAATCATTAAAGTTGGAAAAGATCTCTAAGATCAAGTCCAACCATCACTAAACCGTGTCCCCAAGTGCCACATCTCTGCGTCTGTGCAGAGCAATGCTTCCCTTGGGCAGTTTCAGCACAGCTTTAGGAACTGTCAGGAACCCCCAAGTCCATGAGGGATTGCAGCCCTCCCCCAAGAAGGCTGATGCTGGAAGCCAGTGTCATCTCCCTCCCTGTCAATACCAGGCATCCTTACACTCCTCTCCCATCCCAGCTTAACTTGCTCAGATTCTACCAGCACTGTGGTTCCTAACACACATTTAGGGTGATAAATGCCCTCAAAAAGACAGCACCCTGCAGTCAGAGCTTTCCCATAGCTCTCCTTTCCCACCCCTCCCGTCAGGGCAGCCCAGCACACCTTGCCCTGGCTCCTGCAGGATGTGAGCCACCAGGACCTGACAGAAGGGCTCTGAATACTTGGAGCAGAACGAGGTGAGAGCAGCCATGAGGTGGCGGGAGGGCAGCTGTGTGAGGGACAGGACCTATGAGCAGAAAAGGCAGAAGTGAGGATGCAGAGAAGGAAACAGGGCACACTCAGGCTGGAAAAGCTCTGCCAGAGCACTTACTCGTGTGAGGAAGAGCTGCTCAGCCAGAACAGCTGCGCTGGCATAGCTGAGGTCAGGTGTGAGAGCCAGCAACCAGCTGCAGAACTGCACCAAGAGCTGCTCTGGGCACGTGGAGAGCTGGAGGAAGGAGCACAGCCCCTCGAGCTGGGGACAGCAGAAAGGACAGGGCTGTCAGGGGCAGCAGCAGCACCGCCAGCTGCAAGGATACCAGTTCTCACCTGGCTTGGAGAGCAGCTGTTGAGGATGTGCAGCTCAGGTGGGATGCTCAGCTCTGTGCGCTGCAGGGAAATACCGTCCTTGGCTAATGCACCAAAAAAACCAAGCCAGAAAATGTTGCTCTAGGGCTTTTCTCCTCCCTACTACCTCCTGGCCTGATCCACATGCTGTAGAGGAGGTGACACAGCTGGCCTGTTGTCTCCTGCCAGTCACCCTACAAAACCCATCTCCTCTCCCACTTCTTCTGGAGGCTCTGGGATGAGCCCATTTAGCCCACCTGCACCAAGGATGAAGGCAAAACAACCACTTACATTGGCTTCTTGCAGCAGCAGCATTTTCAGCCTTGGTCCATGCATCTAGGGAAAGTGAGGTGAAAGACAGTCAGACTCTGAAAGTTCACCAGCTGAAAGAGGGGAGCAAAACCTTCAGGTGGGGAGCTGTTGGTCAGTTTGCTTCCTGATTTCTAGGATAAGCACTTTGAGAAGCAGCATCCTCAAGAGTCATAAATCCCAAACTAGAGTCTCTCAGATGCCCATGCCATACACACAGCAGCAGACTGAAGGACCCAGGAGACTTTTTCCACAGCAGGGAAGCTGCAGAGGTGTCCCCAGGAGACACAGGGATGCTGCTAAAACAGCACCCACCACCTTGCCACAAGGCAGGGAAGGCTTGGCAAAGGGAGTGCAGAGAGATAGAATGGAGGAGGACTGAAACCCAGAGAAAGCAGAAACCCTCCCCAGTACCTGGATAAAGGACTGGACCTCTGCTGCAACCTCCAGCCCCGAAATCCTCCTGGGCTCCTCGTCTGCATCCTGCTGGGGGCTTTCCAAGGCAGCCCCAGCCGGGCTCTGTGCAGATCCATTCCCCAGTGTCTCCCCAGGCACCTCTTCTCCCACCCCAGCTGTGCCATCCAGCCCTCCCGGCAACTCAAACACCGCATCCTCCAGCAGTGGCCTCTTCTCCTCCCTCTCCTCACTCAGCTCCAGGCTTTCCTCCAGCGCCTTCTTGCGCTTCCCCCCTGGATGCACAGAACCAGCCGCATCCCCATCCTGTTTGGGGAAGCACCACTTCAGTTTCCTCCTCCCCTCCGCTTTGCTCTGGGCAATTTTCTGGCACAGACACTTGAGCTGCTGCTGGCAGGAAGCCGTCAGGGCAGGGGGAGGTGGGGAGGAACGCTCCTCTCCCCGCAGCAGCAGCACCCCCAGTGCGTGCACCCAGGGGTCAGGCTGGGGGTCCTGCCCTGCAGCATGCAGCAGCTGGTGGAGGCAGTCCGTGGGCACCATCGCTGCTACTGCATGCAGCAGGGAGAAGAGGTTCCTCTGGCACAGGATGGGGAGCAGCAGCAGCCGTGGTTTGCTGGAAAAAGGAAGAAAAAGAAGAGGCTGCATCACTGCAAAGCACTCGAGCTCTTATGTGCCTTCCTGAGCTGCGGAGAGAAGTGTAATAAGGGGAGGACGTTGGAGAGAACAGCAAACACCTCCAGTAGGTTTTGCAGAAAAGCAGCAGGACCGTTATCCACAGCGTTACACACGGACCACTGCACCGGGTGCACAGGAATTGGGAACTTGATGAACCCGACCTCCCACTGAGCCCCGAGTTTTGGGATCGCAGCTGACTCACACAGCCAGGGCTCCATCCGGCCCGTCCAGCGTGGGCTCCTCCGCACACAGCGCGCCCACAAAGCTCCGCCAGGGGAACGCGTGTCCCGGTCCTTCCTGGGCCTGCAGCCGCTGCAGCGCACGGAGAGCAGCCAGCGTCCCAGCGGGGCCGGAGGAGAGAGCGTGCAGCAGCAGGCGGCAGGGCTTGGCAAGCAGCTGCAGCCAGGGAAGCTCCATCTGCCCGCAGGGAAACAGGGAGCGGAGCAGCGCCTGCAGTGACCCGCTGGATGCTCCCAGAGCCCCGCGGCTCTGGGTGTGGGTGTGTGGGGGGCAGGGTTATGGGGAGGACCCCCAGGAAGGCCGCGTTACCGGCCGAGGCTCACGGCAGCTCTATGGGGCAGCGCTATGGGGCACCTCCACACGCTGCTCTCCGGCGGCAGCCGCAGCCCCAGGCAGAGCTCAGAGCGCTGCTCCCCTCCCTGCCCATCCGTGCTGGGGGCGATGCGCTCGGAGCCACGCGCGCCACTTCCGCACCCGGCGCGGCAAAAAAACCCAAAAGCGCGCGCTGTATGCAAATGATCCCACGTGCCGAGTGCAAAGGAGCCCTTAAAGGCGAACGCGCCGAGCCGCTCGGACGGGAGGGCTGAAGGCAGCGTCAGCGCTGTGTTTTATTTCGTCGTTCCTAGATTTCGCTAAAAACAGTTTAAAACCGCGCCCCAGGGCAGCCCGGCTCCCCGTTCCTCTCAGCACTCTGTGCCTTAAAACCTCCCTCCCCATCCCGGCTCCTGCAGTCTCCCAGAGGTGCAACAGGAGGGGCTGAACCCCGTTGCCCCACACTCCCCACCTCATCACCCGGCTCCACGGGCTCCAGCCAGGCTCGCAGCAGCCGGACCGTCCCATTCCCCACCCCACAGCTATCCTCCCTCCCCCCATACCAAAGCCAGGAGCAGCTCAAAGCATTAAAAGTGGATTATTCCATTCCCAGAAGATGCTTCCTTGAAGCCAAGAGCACCCAGCGAATACCCAGGGTTCAGTCTGAATCACTGATGTCCTCAAAGAGCATCCCATGGCTATAACTTGTGTACAGCAACTCCAGCTCCAGCAGAGCACTGGTGACAGCCCATTCAAGCAGGTAGAATTCATCTTCTTCCTCATCAGAACTTTCCAAGGGAGAGGGGCTGCGCTCCTGTGGCACAGGACAGATGGTGAGCCCGGCCCCACGGTGCCCCTACCCCAAATGATGCATTGCCCCACTCACTGCACGCATCCTCAGGCGCTGCCAGCTGTGCCGCAGTGCTGTTTGCCCACCGGGCAGCTCGTGCAGGTAGATGCAGTCAGAGCCAAAAGGGCAGCGGCCGTGGTTCCGGGTGAAGAATTTGCACCTGATTTGCCTGCAGGGTTCAAACAGCAGCTGTGAGCACTGCTGGAGCGCTGCAGAGCCCGCGGTGCTGTGCACTCACCCTGTCCGTGCCTTGAAGCTTTCGATGAGCTGCTGCTTCTCGTCTCCATCTGAGAGCCAGAACTTGCGGGGGATGTAGTAGGTGGAGGTGAGCCGGCACTCTGGGCAGGCTCTGAGTGAATGCAATAGAACCATTAAGGTTGGAAGACCTCTGAGATCCTTAAGTCCAACCCCACCCCCACAGACCGCATCCCTCAGTGCCACGTCTTGAACCCCTCCAGGTGACACCACCACTCCCTGGGTATCCCGTGCCAATTCCTCACCATCTTCCCAGTAAGACTTTTTCCTAATAGCCAACCTGAGATGGGTCCTAAAAAGGGAGCAGCCCTGGCAGAGCTCAATACCCACGTGGGAGCACCCAGCATCCTCATCCCATCCCCATCACAGCTCCCACTCTCAAGGAAAGGCTTCAGGGCACAGAGCAGTGGGGCAGTGACCCCATCCCTGCACTGCCCGTGTGTCCCTATGACACTCACTTGCTGACCGTGTTTGGGAAGTCCCGGCTGCGTCTCCACGTGCGGATGCAGCCCAGACAGAAAGCGTGGCTGCAGTTTGGGAGGATCCCAAAGAGCCGCTCCTCCGGCAGTGCCTTCTCGTAGACCCGCTCCATGCAAATGCCGCACACCACGGCCTCGCTGCGTGCCCTCAGATCTGCGATGGATACCGGAGCTGCGGCAGCACCGAGCTCTGTGGGATCCTACAAACAGAACAGCACAGCACTGCAGCCCGTGGCTTCACACCAGAGGGTCAACAGGGGCGACAGGGGCTGCACAGCCGTGAGACTGAACCCACCTCCGAGCACTGAGCCCACGCCGTCTGCACTGCTTTGCTGGGGGCTGAGGAACTGGGATCTGATCTCAGTCCCTTCAGGCGGGAACCTGAGCACAGAGGAGCTGTTAGAAAAGCACATCCCACCCCACCGTCGGGTCCAGCTGCCCGCAGAACACAGGCTCAGCACTCAGGTGCCCCCATCCCTTACAAAGAGAGCAGGAGAGTTTCCCACAGCCCCAGCACGGCTTTGTTTTGGGGGGGAAGGATGTGGGACAAGGGCAGACACACGCAGGGTGCTCCACCGCCACCCGCAGCCCCGCTGGTCCTGGGGCAGCCCAGCACCCACCTGCGGCACTCCGAGCTCTCGCAGAGCCGAATCCTCCACGGACAGCCCATCCGGGGGGGTCACCGCGTGCCGGGATGTTCTCAGTGCCATCCTCTTCCTCCGCCCGTGGCAGTCCGAAGGCTGCCCGCGTTGTGCTGGCAGCAGAGCTGTGCCCCGCTCCCCTCCGGCTCCGGACCACCACCCCCGGCTCTGACCCCCCCCGGCGGCGGTGCACCGGGCTGCGGCCGTTCACTGCGGGCAGCGGCTGCTCCGGGTCGTGCTGGGAGCTGGAGGAGCGCGGAGACACACAGAAGAGACACGAAGAGGAGTCACCCCCCCCGCTGCCAGTCCCGCCCCCCGACACGTCCCCATTCATTCACTCACTCTCCCGGAGCGCGGTGCCGGGCCGGGGGAACCTTCGTGCCGTGCGAGAATCGGCAGCGCTGCCCAAACCTGCACGAACCGCGGGCAAAATTCCTGCGGAAAGGGAGAAACTCCATGGCCGGGGGGCGGCCCCAAAACGCAGGGATGGAGCATCACCCCCCAGCAGTGGCTTTCAGGGATGCGACCACGTTTTGTCCCCAGCGGAGCTTCCGACTGAGCCTTATCTCCCCGCTAATTGCAAGGCAAAAGAAGCCCGAGGCTGGGCCGGAGGGGGAGCCTGAACTGCACAACTCTGAGGTAACCCCCCAGCTCTCCATAGGGGGCAGAAGGCAGCAAGGACTCCTCAACACGGGGCACCCACCCTGGACCCCCAGCTCGGAGGGGCTGCCGGGCACTTTCCTCTTCAACCCAACACTCTCCAGGGGAAACGCTGGGGGGGGGGAAGATGGGAATTCTAGAGACACGACGCTGCCCTTCAATGGGGCTCTGCTCAACGCCCGTTCTCCCCCAAAGCCTTTCCAGCAGCCCCCTTCCCCAAGCCCTACCTGCACAGGGGTCTCACAGAGGCCCCCCAGCCCCGTTGTGCCCCCGGTGCCACCAGTGAGCTCGGCTCCATTTCCTCCAGCAGTACAGAGGGTGAGAGGTACCTCTGGGGCTTTTATGACCTTGGTGGGGTGGGCACACCCTCACCTTAATTGTGTTAACCCTTGCCCTGCTTTTCCTCATGCTGGTGGGAGGTGTGGGGAAGCTCTCTATCCCCCGATTGCCATAAATCAGGTACGGGAAATGCAAAGGGACACGGTGTGACTTCCCCTGGAGCACCTGAGCAGGTTCACTATGCTGGTTCACTTTAGATCTGGGGCAGGGAGCACTTAAATGAAGCTGAGACCACATCACTGACAACACGCTCCCGCTGCCTTTTGGTCCCGTTGGAAATGCAGAATGCAGGCAGAAATAGAAATGCATCCCATGCTCTGTGCTGGAAACAACCTGAGCACTCAATCCTGCACAGAAGGGCTGGGTGCTAAAAGGTGCTTAAATATTTAGTTCAGATTTATTTAAAGTCATCAGTTTGCAGACACTATTTATATTATTAAAAACACCTGGAGGTTTGTACTTCTAGCAAAAATATACATTTCAGTTTGAGGGTTGTTACACTGAGGGGAAGAGCAAAAAGTTCCCCAGGTGACCAACGCAGGGGTCCACATGCCCTGGGGGTGCCACCGAGCTTTGGGAGCCAGAGGGGGCTTTGGGGACAGACCCCCATGCTGGGAGCAGCACACACCTCTGGTGCCTTCCCCAGAGGACTTCAAAGTGCTTTAGAAATGGTAACTCCTTAACAGCCCTGCAAGGTACGGCTGGGAGGTAAGGGTGGGGAAACTGAGGCACAGTGAGGAGGCAGAGGGCAGCAGCAGGTGTGGGATTGCCAGCCCAGCAGCATGGAGGGGAAGGCCAGAACCCAAAGCTGTCCCCAAGCTCAGGGTATGGCTGGAACAGGACAGGGGAAGCATCCCTCCCCCTAAAGAATAGTTGGTGTTTATATTGTGTTTTACAGCTGCAAAGCTCTTTGCAACCAGTACACTGATTGATTTTCATTTTCCCCTTCTGAGCAAAGGGCAGCCTGGCTCCCTTTCCTGGAGGGGGAAACTGAGGCACAGCCTTAAGCAGAGGGGCGAAGGCCACGCACACTTTGGTGGCAGCAACACCAGGTTGGGGTGCAGCAATCTCCTGCGCTCCCCAGTGCTGCTGTTCCCCCATCAGGGCTGCTCTGCTGGTGCCGTGGATCACCAGATCTCTTCTGCAGAACCTTCCAGCCCGTGATGTGCTTCCTCCCCACAGCCCCACAAACACCCTGTCAGCACCCTGGGCTCTGTGGGCTGACCGTGACTTTCCCCATGCTGGTGTTGCTGAAGGCTTTGCTTGCTCTGGTGCTTGCAGGGAGCTTGCACAGCCACCTCATCCCAAACCTGCCCTGCGCAGACCTTTCTGGAACTCCTATCTGCACAGAACTGCCTGGGGAAGCAAAAGGATCACGGGCCTCAGCTCCGAAGGTGAATTCTTGAGTCAACCCCTTCCCTCCCCTCTTTGATACAGAGGTGCTAAGGGACAGGTTCCTCTGAAGTGGAGGCACTGGGAGCACAGAGAGGGGGGCTGCAGCCAAGGCTCTTTGCTAGGACAGCCATACACGTCTTCAAATACGCCAGCTTTTCCTTGGGGAAGAGAAATACTTCCTTTTGTGCCACTGTCCTAAACTTCACAGCTCAGGACTACATCTTCAGAGTGCAATATGACAGACACACCCCAAGTGCTGCTGCTGCCCACGGGGAAACCACACCACGCTGGGGGCTCTCAACAACCAGAGCAGCCCCCACTAGCCCCAAGCTGCTGCAGGAATCCCCTGTCCATGCCATGCAAACCACCCGGCTGCTCTGGAGGCCCCACAGGAAATGGAAACAGTAGCTTATGATTTGCCTTAGTAAATTCATTAGTGTGTCAATGGAAGTCTCAAGCTACCAGGAGGTGACTGCAAAACCTTCCGGCGCCTTGCCCTATGTACCGTACATTGGAGTCATGTAGAAAAGAGTTTCCAGTAGAAGAAATGGAAGACATGGGGAAAGGTTTTCTTTGTTTTTGTACAAAGAGTCTCGCTTGGAATCCATGGCTTCATTCTCATAAATAAGAGGTCCTTAGTACATGTCCTTGTAGATCTCCTGCAGGAGAGGGTGCAGGGAGGTCTCTGTCTCTGTCTTCTTGATCTTCTGCACCAGCTGGGCGTGCTCTGTCACCAGCTGCCGCAGGTCAGCCATCTTCTGCAGCAGCTTGGGGAAGAGGTACTGGGCGTCCGGGTGGTTGGACTGCAGGTGGAACTCCAGCGCTCGGAGGATGTTGTCTTGGATCTCCTCCACCTGCTTCACGTTCATCAGGCCGGGACGGTCTGTGGGGAGGAAGGATGGTAGGTGGTGTTATGTGGAGGCATGGAGATGGGGAGTGGAACCCACCCATAGTGACTCCAATCTGGTCAACCAAGAAAAGGGGGAAACTGCATGCCCTCAGACTGCACGTCCTAGAGCAGCTGATGAGAAAGGGATGGTACTTGGTCCAACCTTGGGAGTCAGAACTGTTCAGTTCTTCTCTCACCCCTCTAAGACTTGCAACCCATGGCATGGGGGTTAAACCAGATGAAACTTAAAGATCTCTTCCAACATAAATCATTCTATGATACTATGATAAGGCACCCGTGCCTGATCTCTGCCAGCAAAGGCCCTGCTGAAGCACTGGGTTAGCTGCAGCCTGGCCCCTCCAGTCCCCATATCCCTGGGGGGTTCTGTATCTGCTCACCTCCGCACAGGATAATGGCAGCCACAAACAGAGACAGGTCGCTGTCATCCAGCTCCAGTGCATTGAACTTCACAGCAAACTCAAACTTGGGCTCCATGATCTCATTGAAGGGCTTGCGCAAGCTACGCAGGAACTCGCGGGTCACGAAGCCATTCCCGTTGGCCACCAGCAGCCCATCCTTGTTCATGATAGAGGCCAGCATGGCAAAGATGGCCTCGTGCACCCCATACTTCAGCAGAGTCACTTGGTCATTCAAGTAGAGGCCTATGAAGCTGGGGATGCTCTTGGCGAACTCGGTGAGCTCCCGCACAGTTTCTACAGTGGTGCACTGGCAGCGGTAGAAGACGTGCACGCCAATCTCCTTGTAGGGGGGGATCCCATTCACCAGCTGTTTCCAGACCAGCCCCTTTTCTGCTTGCCACAGGGTGTCCATGTCATGGATCACAAAAGGCTGCTTGAAAAAGAAGAGAGTGGTCAGGAACCTGCTGCACTCATGCTCTGCCCAGGACACTCGCCTCTGCCTGTCCATTTGCTGCTCTCTCCTGCTGCTGCTAAGGGAGCACTGGCAAACAGCACCCACACACACGTGCACAAGCCTGAGGAGAGGTGGGAATTTTCCCAGCATGTGGCAAGACATGTAAAAACCATGTAGCAGGGAACTGGTGCACGTGCAGTAGTTACAGCAGGAGGAAGACGAGCCCAGAGAACAGCCCCCCACATGGGCTGCAGCCAGCCCTGCCTGCCACTGGAGAGAACTTACTGGGGTGCTGCTGGCCTTCCCGGTCAAGATACCTCTCGCTTTCTTTTTGGTCATGTTGAAGTTTTTCAGGTAGGCATGGTAGATGTGCTTGGAGAAAGCTTTCAGGTCGGCCACCTGTGGGTTCTGGCAGCTGATCTCACTTGCCGTCAGCCCAGCTACCAGCTTCCTCTTCTCTGCTTCCGGCATGCGGCCAAAGCGGATCGCTGCGAGGAGCAAAACCAGAGAATCAGACAACACAGCCTCCCATCTCCACTCATATGGGCTCTACCACAAGCCCTGCTTCCCACATAAACACCTTGGCTGGGCCAGAAGCAAGATGGTTCCACCTGAAGTTCAAAAATCCCAGCAAGCTGTGTGCCCAGTTCCCACCGGGCCAACACAAAAGGGAGAGCCATGTGCCAGCAGCCAGCCTGCATGGCAGGATGAAAAAGCCCATTCTGGTAGGAAAGAAATGGAAGACGAGGCCCAACGCCCTTCTGGGCTTGAAAGAAGATGATTCCTTGGCAAAAAAAGTCACAGCGTAATGCAAGCTACATATGGCCTCTCCATGTGAATCACAGAATCATGGAATGGTTGGGTTGGAAGAGAGCTTACAGCCTCCTAGTCCTACCCCTGCTGTGGGCTGGGTACCCCCACCAGCTCAGGCTGTCCATGGCCCCTTCCTCGCCTCAGGCATCTCTAGGGTAGGGGCACCCCAAGCATTGAGAAGCAGTGCCAGAGCCTTGCTGCCCTCTGGGTAAAAGATTTCCTCCTAACATCTAACCTAAATCTCCCCTCTTTTAGTTTAAAATTGTTTCCCCTTGTCCTGTCACTATCTGCCTGTGAATCCTTGGGATGAAGAATTGCTCATGGGACAGATGGCCCAGGGCACCTCACCAGCATGCCCAGGAAAACAGTGACACTCACCATTATGTGACATGCCCAACGAGAGGCATTTCTGGAAGCGGCAGTACTGGCACTTATTCCGGTTCTTCTTCTGAATCTTGCAGCTTCTCTCACACTTTTCATATTCCAGCTTCATGCGGATCGTCCGGCGGAAGAAACCCTGCACAGAGTGGGATGAGGAGCAGGGAAACAAGGGAACAGCAGTGTTAGCACCCACACTTTAGGATCAGGCCAGTTTGTTATCCACAGCAGCTTCAAGGTTCATCCTCCACTGGGTTTTTTCAGCACAGAGCCACAAGGAGAGGTGGTGTGGTGGGAAAAGGGGTAGAGTGGGACCGGGTGTGTGATACTGCATGCAGCCAGCAGGGAGGGATGGAGGAACAGGCTGTGGGCTCCAGCCTGCAGGGAAGTCTGGCAGGGCCTCACTGCTAATGCAGCTCCGCTGGCATCTGGTGCGGGGGAAGGAATTTTAGAGGTGCGGCCAAGCTGTGGCCGGCGATCCCAGTGGGATAAACACGCAGCTCATGGCTGATCTGCAGCACAGACAGCATCTTTAAAAGCAAAGCCAAGGTCCCCATTGGGGTAGAAGGATTTGCTTTACAAAATAAAGCGTAACAAGCTAAGAAGTGGGACATGTTTGTCTGACCCAGACTGAACCCCACGCTCCCTGGGGAGGACGCACCTTGCAGCCCTCGCAGGCGTGCACACCATAGTGGAAGCCCGAGGCTTTGTCTCCACAGACTCTGCACTCCACGTTCAGCGCCCCCGAGGCCGTCTCCTCACAGCCCATCTGCAGTTGGTCTGACAGGGAGGGAGAGGAGCTCTGTGAAAGGTCTGCAAACACACAACAGAATCTGTCCTTCTGAGCAGCAGCCACAAGCACAGCGTTGCACCCAACCCCACCAGAATGGGGCTGATGAGGCATTTCCAGCACCACCTCCAGAGCTGTGTTTGGGTGGTTAGCCTCTGAGATTAGGCACTGACCACAGGATGATGCCATGTATGGAGCCACAGCGCTGTCAGAAGCTAAAAGGCTCCACATCAGTGCTGAGTTCAGAAGGACTCTAGAGCTTAACTTTCGGCAGTGAAACCTCTCCACAATTTTTGCAGTGTAGCTAGCATAACTCATACGATCAGTTTGCACTGAGGATTTCAAGAAGCAGACAAATTATGGTTCTCAGCACCCTGCGAGACCTCCCCTCTTCAATATGCACACTCTGGGGCTCATCCCCCCCTCCTGGCTCTATTTCCATCTCCCAACCCACTGCCACTGGCTGTGTGGTGACTGCAGAGGAAGAAATAGATCCTCCATGCTTTGGCGCTCAATGAATTACTGCGTGAGACCACCAGAAGCCCAGCTCCGTTCACGTGCAGGCCCTCCTCTGACTGTGGGGGATGTGGCTCCACTCACCGGTGTAGCTGCTCGAGGGCAGTGAGCTGTCTGGTCCTACACTTGGGTCCGAGGCTCCGCTAGGCACTGTCACTGCCTCTTCCTCTTCCTCCTCCTCTTCCCTGACCTCAGGTACTTCCTCCTGTAGTTGTTCCATAACTGATCACCCCTCAGTGCCAGGACTGCAATCCCTGTCATAGCTCTGGCATCATCCGCATCTATCCGAGATGGACCCTGCCAGTTGCACTAGCCTGCAGGCAGAGGGAGAGGCGTGTCAGTGCCATGGGTGCAGCCCCGCCATCCTGCTTTGCTTCGTGTCCTTTCCATGGTGACAAGCAGACCCTGGGTCTCCTTAAAGGCTGCTTTGCTGGAATCGTGTGTAAAGCCCAGCAGACTGATCCCGGGACAGCAACCAGCCCACAGCCCACAGCCCAGGGACCAGAGGCCGGTGCTCCCCACCCTGCAGATCCCACAGCAGAGGCACCGCCCTGGGCAACGTCCCCTGCAGCCATCAGCACCCCATGCTGTCACAGTGGCAGCCAAGGACGGGGTTTGGCACAGCCAGGACTACCGGAAGGGTTCAGATAGCACACGCTGCAGCTGCCAGCACAGAGCTCAGCTCCACACTGTCCTCAGCCCAGCGGCTGCAGGGGGCACAAGCAGGGCTCTGGGTCTGCAAGTCCCAGCCCCACACTGGGAGAGTGACAGCTTCCTGCCAGCTCCTTCTCTCCCACTCCTTCCCGTTACAGCAGTGGTGTTTATTTTCACTCCTGTTGTAACCAGCCCCAGCTCCTCTGCCAAGAGCCATTCAGCTGAGCTTGCTGCTGCTGCTGCTCGTACAGCTGCGGGGCTGTGCTCAGCCATGGGTCTGGCTGCACAACCCAGCCCATGTCCTAATCCAGGGTTTCCTGTGGAGGATCAGTGTGGGCCCCTTCTCCCCGTGTCTCCTCTCCCTGTTTGTAGTCATCCATCCCATTCCTGCTGGGCTGGTGCTGTTCCCAGCCCTGCTCAGTGTCCACATCCCAGTCTCCAGATCTCAACCCCTGCACTGAGTCCTGCTCCAGCAATTAATGCCTGAAGCCTGTTCTACACAGAGTGCAGCTATTTCCGTAAAGGAGTTATTTTAAGGTAGAGAATCCAGATGCTCTATTTCCATCAAACAAGCCACTGACATCCAGCTTTCCCCAGGACAGCCCCAGTTATCAGACTCCAGTTAAACTGTTAGCATCTTCATGCACTAAAGCGTGCACCTTGCTTGCAGGGGACTTGCACAAGGGCAACCCGTGAGCAAAGAGGTGCTGGTGGCACAGGGCTCCCTGGGCTACTTCGCCCTCCTGCAGCATCCCCCCCTCCTCTGTTCCCAGTCACTGGCACTTGTGCTGCAGCCAGCTCCTCGGGAAGCTGTCAGCACTGAGCAAGGTCAGATGGGCGAGCAGCAGCCAGCGCCAAGGGGGAGGACAAAATCTGCAGAGGGGAAGCTGAATGTCAGCATGCTGCAAAGCCAGCAGCCAGGCACCCCAAGAGCTGGTGCCAGAACATAACCTGGGTCTGCTCTCGCTTCCTCCCTGCATACCAGGAGTTCAGAGCTGTGGAGACAGCACTGTGTCAAGGAACTGGGACTGTGGTGTTACCCACAGCTCTGTCGGGAGCAGCAAAGGGGCACAGGGCTTGCAGAAGTGCTGCGTTCCCTGCCTGTGCCTCCTGGGCAGCACTGAGCAACCATTCAGGGCTGTGTTGTCCTTGGCCTCCACTAGCGCAGTAGGGCACACACGCAGGCAGGAAAACCTATTTGCTGGAGATGGAGGATAACAAGCTGAATCTGTTTAAAGTCTATATATAAATAAATGCACACACATCAGGGAAATGCTTTTTGTCTGGATAGCAGTCGGTAGGGTAGGATGGTAGAAGGAGGTCTATGCAGGACCTTGCAGTCCTGGGCAGCAGCAAGCTCTCCCAGACCCACCAAAGCAACTCCAAGGCTGTGCTTAGATGGCTGTGCAAACCCCATCTAAGCCTCCATTTGGTGCCATCCAAACCTCTCTCTGTGGGAGAACAGAGGACAGGACACATCTGACAGCAACAGCAGACTCCAGCAGAGGTGTCCCATGTCAGCGAGGGCAGGATGAGGATATGTATCCCACCCATGGAGAGAGAAAAGCTTTTACCAGAAAGTCCTGAATGTATTGTTTTAATATCTTCTTGCAAGCCAAGAGCAGAGGGGAGCTGCGGGAGCTGTTTGCACACCTGCCTTTCCCTGAGCCCTTCCCCAGTTTTCCAAACAAGTGAAATAGAGAGAGGGGGGAGGCATTAATTTCAGCCAGGCTTTCAGCAGATGAAAGGCAGCAGGGATTGTGCCCACACTGCAAGGCGCTGGGCATGGCCCTGCATTGCTGCAGGGGATGTGCAGACCCCAGACCCTCTGACTTTGGGAGTGGAGGCAGCAGCCAAACACAGAGACCTCCAAGCTCTTTCATGCTTTCAGCTGAAGGATTGAGTGAAAAGAACAAGCCAGCACTGGCTTGATTAAAATCAGTGCAACAGCTTCTTTGATTCCATTTAGTGCTGGATTCTTCTGGCACGTGCAGAGAGGACAGAGAACTACGCCAGCCTCTAGGACGCTTCATTCAGTCCCAGGCACTGGGGAGATCCCCTCCTGCCAGCCCCAACAAAGGCGTGCCTCTGAGGGCAGAAAGTGTTTGCAGAGGATCACACAGCAGCAGCCATGAGCACAAAGGGGATGTGCTGCCTCCCTGCAGGCCCCCTGGTTCAGAGTGGGGTGGCTGAGCTCCATCCCTCTGAGAGGACAGAGGGACAGTGGGGGACCCTGCACAACTCCAAGGGGTGACACCCAGGATGGCTGTGTGGAGGGCAGAGGATGCCCAAAGGATCCTTCTCATCTCCAGGAGCTCCTTCCCCACTTGATGCCTGCAGCCCAGGCATTTTAGGGTGTGAGAAGTGCCCACTGCCCTGCAGGGTGTGCAGGAGGGCTGCAAGGGATGTGACGGAGCAGCCCAGTTCCTCATCACTGCACACAGAGCACAGAGACATGCATTCCAGCACAGACACTGAGGGGCTGGCAGCCACCAAATTAAAACAAAGTGCTTATAATTAGAAGGACTTCATCTTTAAAGCAGGTGTAGTTTTGCTGAGGGTGAGCTCCAACAAAAAGCAACCTCACTGTGCTCACTGTGATGGAGAGAACTCTCCCACCTCTATGCCCCTCACAATTGTTTCTTATTCAGACAGGGTTGGAGGCAGCTCCATGTCCAGTCCCCACTGCATGCTGCATTGTCACCACGTGTGTCTCCTCCTTGGAAGATGGAAGCTTCCAGGCAAAAGAAAGTGCCAGAAATGGCCCAGGCTTCTCAAGGGACAGCTCACAATGTTGACCTGCTCCAACAGTTGTTTGACTTACCGTAAAGGAGGTCGCAGGGCACCACGAAAGGAAACCAATTCACCATGGAAGCACATCTCTGTGCTCATTTGGAGAAAAAAATTAAAACAAATTCATTCAAATGCACATCCTGTTGATTGTGCATTCAGCACTGTATGGGAGCGTTTTCTCAGATGGAGTGCACAGTGAATACACACCAAAAAACCGAACCGATTTCCATTAAAAAAAACTGGTTGACTCTTATTGGCCATTATTTGTAGACATCCCTTGGATTGTGTCACCATTTCCGAAATCTGATGATCAAGTACCAGTTTTTGTTCCTCCTCCTTCACGTCACCTATTGCTAATAAAAGCCAAATAATAGCTAAGCAGATGCTGCAACACAGGAAAGGTAACCAAGTGCAGAAAACCAGGAGACGCAACCATTGAAAACATGTTTGTTTTTTGTTCCTGAAAGATCAGCACGCCTCCTCATTAGCTAATGAGATCCCAGAAGCACTTATTACTTAAGTGTTTCCTCCCTCACTCAGAAGCCTTGGCTGCAAGGCAGGCTCCGTGCAGGAATAAACAACTGGAGCTGGCGAGGCAGAGAAAGCATCTGCCCCAACACCATGGATGTCCACTCCTTGTCCTTTCCTCCACTGCTGCTGTCTGCTTTTCACCAAGTATAACCCAGCCAGCTAAGCATCAGGTGCTGCCTGAGCTGCTATTACTGTATTGCTGCTAATTACTCAACAACATATGACAAAGGAGTACAGGAGATTCCCCTGCTTCCCTCAAGCTGCCAGGCTTGCCAATGAATCACACATCAGCCACATGCTACAACTCATCCACTTCCTGGATACTGAGGAAGAGAAATAAGTCAAAGAGTTGTGAAACTCACTGGATTCTTCTCTTTTTGCATCACAGCTGTCCCCAGAACCAGGTCAATGCACTCCAAAAGGAACTTCCTGCCCTCCAAAAAAACCCAGCACTAGTGAGAAAGCAGGACCTGCAGGAGGGGCTGCTCTTCCTTTTCAATTCACCTTCCAGAAGCTGCAAAGATACCTCTGACTCCAGGGGCTCCAAGACATATCTGATGTGCTGCAAAACCTGTAGATGGCACATAACTGGATGAGTGTTCGTGCTTCTACAGAAATCATCCCTACACAGCTCACCTGCTTTCCAGAAAGAGGCTCTCTGCCCTCTTCAGCCTTGGAGCTCCACAGCTCCCTTTTGCAAAAGGGGTGGAAGTAGGATGGGCACTAAAGAGCTGAACACTCACCAGCTTTTATCCAAAGTTCTGCTTTGTGACTCACAGCAAATCCTGTCAACCCCCATACCTCCATTTCCTTCATCATCAAAAATAATAATAATTGAGTTCTGTAGTGCTTCCTTCCTCGTCCTTTCTTTGCTGCATTAGCTCACAGAGACGTCATGTTTTGGACCTCAATGCCAAGTGTCATTGTTTGTTCCCATATTATGGATTTGGACACCTGTTCCCAGTCACGCTCGCAAGCCTCGCCTGCCCCAGGTCAGTACACCACGCTGCTCATTCCCACATGAAATGTTTCCAGGATTGCTTTCAACAAGTAAACTGCCAAGTCTCACGCTGGAAACTGCCAACTGATATTTGTGTTTTGCTGTCAACTCAGGACAGCCCAGAGTGGGCAGGGGATGTGTGCAGCTGAATGATGGGACGAGGAGCACATCCAGGAAACAAGCAGCTATCAGAAAGGTGACACCTTCTCAGTACTGGAAACTGCACAGATGCGTCATCATTTGAGAAGATCATTAAGTTTGGTAATGAGAGAGGACCATCCCCGCTCACACCAGGGCACAGCAGAGGTGACATGACCTGTCCTGTGATGCTGGGCAGTGCTTTGCCCGGCTGCCTGTGGGCACGTTGGCTGTGGGATGGCTGCAGCATGCCTATACAAGCACTGCAAAACAAGCTTGCTCCACGCTGCATGAACAGGCTGCCAGGGAAGAAGATGCTGCTGTTCTCTGGAGGCCATGTGCTGCAGGAGGACAATGCTTTGGGCACACTGCATTGAGCTCAAACCGCTTCTAGTATTGGGAGGGACGCAAGGCAGCTTGTGAGGCTGTCAGGATGTGTGGTATCCTGACCCCACATGCCCATCCTGCTGCCAGTGTAGAGCCAGTGCCCAGCATCAGGCTTGCTTTTACATCCCTGCTTCCTCTCTGGAAGTGCCCAAGAAGCTGCCTGGGAACACTCCCCTTTACCATCCCAAAGGGAAATAAAGTCATCACTCTCTGAACCTCCAAGTTCTGCTGCATTTGCTCCAAGGTGCTGGCTTTGCTTACAGACCCCTCGTCCACTGATCCACAGCAGGCCACGTGGGAGGATCTGGTTTCAAGAACACCAGTAATTATAGAACAGAGCTGACGGGAGGAGCTCGCAGGAACAGCAGTGAGGTTCCCAAGGCAAACAACAGGCACAAGCTCAGAACTGCACTTAAAGGGAAATCCAGGAAAGCAGTAAGTGCAGCAAGTTGCCACTGCAAACTCCAGAGTCAAGGAGCACGTATCTGTGGGAGCACTGGGTGGCAGTGAGTGTGGCTGCCCTACAACAGCACTGCTATCAGAACACGGCACGGTTTCCCTCAAAGCCTCTGTGTCACTGGGACACCAGTGAGCGTCCTCACAGGGCGATCAGACCCCTGGAAAAGCAACGGGAAAACAGAGAAACACAGCAGCAGGCCACTGCTCTGAGTCACTGGAGCCAAATTTGGCAGGAGCCAAGTACCCAGCAAGACCTAAAACCAGGCAGCAGGTATTCCCAAATCCAGGAAACCAGCCACAAAAATATCATCAAACCTTTCTGCAGTGATTGAGATCCCCTGTGCTAAAGCTACCAGTCTGTAAGCTTGCTATGCTTACACTTGGACTCCCAGCAATGCACTACATATTTTGTAGACCGTAGCAAAATATCCTGAGCACTCGGCATGCAGCCCTGATCCCAGGACACAGCTGACAGTGAGCAATTATGCCCAGGCACGGGTTCAGATGATTCAGCACAGCCTGGGAACGTCCGCACCGAAGTGGTTGGAACAAATTGCCACGCTCGCTTCATCTCCCCTTCAACCACAGAAAGGGAGAGAGAGAGAGCAAATCTGAGTTTGACGGCATCCAGAGAGCATTAAAATAACTTTGTTGCACAAAGTAGTTCAACACCCTCTCAGAGATCTGGAAGAGAGATGTTTCCTTACTATTTTTGGCTACGCTCTGTGTAGCAAGAGCTGAGGGAGGAGCAGAAGTTTCCCTGTTTTCAGCCGATAGGATCAGTGACCCCTGCCAAGGAGAGGATCTCAGCATGCTCCTGACTGCTTGGACTTCTGCCTCGGCTCCTAGAGAACAAAACACTGTAGCAAAGCCTCAGCACCTTTCCTAATACCCTCACCTCTTGGGCACAACTGTGAGCCCAATACAGAGAGCTCCCAGGACCTCCCCAGCCCCAACCCCACACTTATGCATGCACACCATCAGCTCTCTTCTGATGTTCCTAAGTCACACAAATAACCCCTCCTCACAGATATGAGAACCCACAGACTTTTTGCATCAGCCCTCACAGGGTTGACAGCTTCCATGGTCCCACAGCTCTGGTAAAATCCATAAAAATCAGCATAGTGTTAAGAACAATTTTAGGTACTTTAAGGCATATTTCAGATTCGCATTAAGATGAAATTGAGACTTGCATTAAGAACAAAAACATCAGACCAGATCGAGACTTGAGCACCACTGAGGTGACACATCTCCCCTGTTCCCTCTTTAGCCTGACAACACTTTTCCTAGACAGACATTTACTACCAGCAATATGATTCAGAGCAAAGTTCGCTTTAACAGATCACCAGAAAAACCCCAAAACTTCCCTATCAACTTAGATAAGAAAGCTCACCTGCCCTTATAAACCATCATATCCATTCCTTATCTGCATTCCATACGTCATTGGGTTGAACTTGCATGTTCTATTTTTTCCTATGCAGAGTTGCAATTCACAGACGGGCAAATCAGAAAAACACAGCACGAGAGCACTGTTTCTGGTTAACACAAGCACCATCTGGCTGTTGCTATCCACAAGCCAGAAAGATGCCCTGGTGAGAACCCAGCAACAGGAGCAACATGTTTCTGACCTGTATGCTTTCATCTTGACACCTCTGTCAGGTCAGGATTCCCTGCAAACTGCAGCCTCAGATTTGCCTTTTGAGCAGGATCTGTTGGGGGGGGGTTTCCCAAGGAAGCAGCCCAGCACATACCTGACCCCTTGTGATGTTCATGTTCAAAAGCCCTTGAAGGACACAGACACGTGTCAGACACTGTGATCACAACAGTAATTTTAGAGCATTACTGGAAACTAAGACCCATCTCAAATCAGTTCTGCTCCGTTCTTGCAGTCAGGCAGCAGTCCATTGAAAACCATTCTCATTCCTGGGTCTACAGGGTTCATACTGGCATCAATTGCAAAGTAACTTCCTAGGCATTCTGCCAATGCAAATGTGTTCTAGAGTATAAGATTAAAGAAAGAAAATAGCTCTTCTACTGAAGAATCCCATTTGTACTCACTATGGACATCATTTGTGCCTGTCTTGACTTTGCCAGTCTCAAAAATTTCTGCAACAGTGACAAGTAGCATCTCTGAACAGTGATAATTCTAAAAAAAAATAGAGACTTCTCTTCTCTGCAGCACCTTATGCAAAAGCAGACCCATGGCAGCCAATACAAACAACAAAACAAGCCCACACCCCTGAAATTCCATAGTGAGGGCAAGCCTGACTGTGTTCCAGCAGCAAATAATCTCTTAGCCATAAGCACTCGAACAGCGTCGCACCTGATTAAAAATCACTTGCCTGTCAGCTCCTGCTGCCTGAAGGAAGCTGTGAGCCCCTTACTGTGCCAATCTCTTAGTCTCTAAGAACACAGTAGACTTGCAGTTCATAATTGAAAAGCCACAGCAGAAACATTCCCCCAAACACAACAAGATGTACTGTACAAAAATACAGATTTGTCAACAGACAACACTCTTGAGAGGAGACCGTTAACATCAGCAAGCAATTCCGCACAACAATGCTTCCCTGATCAACACAGCCTCATGTGGCTCATTACAAAATCCTCTCCATACACTGCAAAGTTCCTTGGAAGTCCACGTTCCAAATGCCAGCACTGAGAGAGCAGAACAGTTGCATAAACTTTAAGAGACATTTTATAACTTAGCCCCATCTCCATCCAGCTGAATACATCAGATGTGTGCTGTGGCAGAAATAAACCCACCCCCTCAGCACAGACATGCAGGCGACCATCCTGAGGAACTTGAGCATCACCACAGGCAGCACTGGAGTCTGAGCCACGTCCTCTATTGCAGGGCTGAAACAGTAATAACCCGTTCAGTTTTGCCCAAGTAAGCAGTCATGCAGTAGCAGATGTTGCCAACATTGGTGCCAGATTGCGTGAGCGATAGGTAGGTGATCATTTACCTAAGTGCAGTCCTCTCCAATTTAGAAGAGGCAATTTCAATTGTAAAAACCATGAAGTAACCAAACACTGTTATACTTCGAAAGCAGCTGTTGGCTCAGAGGAACAGGGTTAGACCACAATGCTTAAAGCACACGCCTCAGCAGAATCCAGAAAGACCACATTCAGAAACTGAGCAAAAAGTAAGGCACAGGATTTAGAATTAAGAAGCGACTTCAGAACGTCTCTGCTCACAGGGAAAAGTGAGACTTGGCGAAAGCTCTTCCTCGGCTCTTCCCTACCCCAAGTTTTAATAAAAATAAGCAGCGTGCTTTTCAGACCTGAAGGCAGAAGGGAAAAGTTACCTCTCTGCAGCTGTCCCTGCCTGCCCGCCGCTGAGAGCCGCCGTTCCGTTACCATGTCAGCATGGAGAGCTGGGGACCAGAGTGATCTGCAAGAGAACACAACACGGATTTCCACAGCTGTGCTGAAGGCCAGATATTTATGCCGCTGGGAGAACTGGGACAGATCCAGCGACGTCTCTGAAATTTAAACACACACTCCCTCTGCTGCGCGCTGCAGCCACTTGCTGGGGTGAGTTCCTCTCAGCCACTGTGTTGCCTTCCCCTTGTGCTGGCCACATTTGCAGCTCCATTATCCCCAATTTTTGTGACTGTGTGCAAAGTTGATGTTAAAACATAGAGCTCATTGAAAAAATCTGCTACGGCCATGAGGTGGTTTGCTTTCTTGACCTCCTTGGGAGGCTGCATGAGAGTTACTGCAACTTTAATGAACCTCTCCGGTTCTTGAAACTTAAGGATTTACCAGAGTTCACCCCTCTTGGTTTTCCTGATAGTGTTGCAAATAACTGCAGGCACAGGAGAGCAGTAAGAGACCACTGCTGGGGGAAAAGAAAAAAAAAAAGTCTTGAAGACTTTGAACGAGAGGACTTACAGAAAATATGCTCTATTTTTAGACAGTTATGCAGACTAACTGGACTAACACTAAACAAAGATGCTGTGAACATGATGCTACTTGAACCCACGTACCCTCCCTGACATTGCACAGGCTTAGCTGCTCCTCCCACCCTGATGGAAAAGCCCAGTTCTGCAGCACTGCCCCTTCCAGCAGCAGCAGGCTCCTGAGGCAGCCCAGCACTGATCCCACACCTGCAAACTGCAGCCTCTCCTGCACCTACCTCCCAGCTCCAACAGGTGCCAGGAGTTACAGATACCCATGATGACGCCATGAAAGGAAGAAGCAAATCTGTCCCAAAAGCCAAAGCAACAATTTGTTGTGCTCTCAGAGAGGCTTACAGAGTGGGCATGGAGCAGGCTGATCAGCACCAGGCACATCCAGGGGAGGGCACAAGCCTGGAGAACAATCCCCGTCCCTTGGAGCAGAGCGTCAGTCCCAACACAATCTCTCTTCCTAGCAGTAATATAAAAGTACAGATAATACAAAGATCAGCCCCTTCAAAGCAAGCGATCGCCTCAGCTCTGCAGGGAGAGGCTGTGGCACAGTGGTGTTGCACACATGCAGATGTCACCAAGGGGAGGGCACAGGTCCTGCAGCCAGCCCTCTGCTCCAGCAGGGCTGTCAAGCACCCACCGCAGCTCCACGGTCATAGCAGAATGCTGTGGCTGCAGCAGGCTTCAAATCCCACCCCAAAAACAGAAGGTGGTTTTTCCCACCAAACATCAAGACAATGTTCTTCATTAACTTCCTGATGAGGAAAGGTAATAAAGTTATTACATCCCCACTGGCACATCAGGAGCTGGCTTACTTCATTTCCACCAGCAGTAAAACCCATCCCTGACTCGGTAACAAAGTTGACAGTGTTAACCAACACATGAATCATGTACAGAGTGCACAAATCACACCCTGGGCTTGCCCCCAGCACAGGGCAGAGCGCTCACTGCTGCTGCCAGAGATCTGAGCATTAAGACTAAATCACCAGCTCACCTTGTGCAGCTCGCAAGCAAGTGCCAGGGCATGCCCAGCACAGCGTGCACAATGCACTGCTTGCACCAGCTCAGCAGGGTGCAGAGGGAGCTGCCAGCACATCAATCCTGAAAGCTTCCTCCTGCAGTTTTGGATGATAAGTCACAAGGAAAACTCACACCCGACATGTTTCTGTCAGCCAGGGAAAAGGATTCTCCTGAACGCACCAAGGAGTTTACACAGTGAGACTTCTGAGACCAAAAACTAGAAGTATATGGGTTGATGTACGAGGGTGACCAACTTGCACCTTCAGTCCTCCTGCACTGTAAATCTTCAGCCCCTCACACAGGGCTGTCCTAGCATGTGAGTGAGCACGAGGCCTCCTGGCCCAGCTGCTGGAGGTAAGAGGGCCAAGGCTGCCTGGAAGGAGGAAACCACACTGGGTTTGAAGTTCCAAGACACAATGCAGCTGATGGCCGGCAGATGCTGCGAGCATCACTGCACAGGGTTGGTCTGCTCTCTGCTCCAAGCTGCACCTTCAGCCACTGAGCCTCTCTGTGTCCTGATTTCCCATCCAGGGGCACTACAGCACAACACTCCTACCTCGTAAATATTTTGTGAGGCCTAATTCATTGCCTTGTGTAAATAAGCTGGAGTCCCATAAACAAATCAGGCAGGTAAGCATTATCTGAGGTGGAGTCAGCACACAGAAACCTTTGAAAGTATAATAAGGCCAGGAGGCATTTTGACCACAAAAAAAAGGAGAGGTCAAAACAGTTGGATGCAAAAGCAGGGTCCTTGTTGCTTGTGATGACAGCCCTTGGAGGTGGCCAACAAAGAGGGAAAAAACACAACAGGTTGGAAATAAAAAACAAAAGAGGGAAGTGGGAGGTGAAAGAAAATCACATCTCTTTCAGAGGCCCTGCCTCCTACTTCTGCACAATGCTTTACCTTTCACCTGGGACTTTTTACAAGTGCTTCTCAAGCTCGTTAAAAGCTCCAGTCCACCCAGTCAGCAGAGCTGGTGCCACCACAGGGCAGAGCCCCCCTGGGGGAGGGTGCAGCCCAGCAGGGACTGCCTGGTCTACAGCCAGTGTGGATAAAGGTGTCAGTCCTTTATGCCATCGCTGCAGAAAATCACAGGGAGCAGCAGCAAGGATGGGACCCCTGCTTCCCTATCACAGAGGCCAACAAAGCTGCCTGGGAGAGCCCCTGGGGAAGGCCATCCACAGAATCACCAAGGTTGGAAAAGACCTTCAAGATCATCCAGTCCAACCATCCACCTATCACCAACAATAAACCATGTCCCTCAACTCAAAATCCAAACGTTCCTCGATTCCCATCCTTTTGCTTCTCCTTCCTGCCCACATCCCAGCAGAGCACCTCAGGGGTCCCCTGAAGCCACACACCTTTGGGGACACGCCTGTCCCTGACCCCCAGCCTGGCCATCTCCCCGTTGCAAAGAGCACCTGCACCCTCGTTAACCCACTGTCCCCACCTCCAAAGAGCCCCCCATCCCTCAGGAAGCCCTCAGGAAGCCCTCAGCAAGCCGTCCCAGCCCCTCACGTAGCTCTCAGGATCCCCCCCCGCGCACCCTCCCCCCCCACGACAGCCCCGCTCCCCCCGCCACCCTACAGCCCCCCACCCCCACGTGCTCACAGCACCCCACACCAAATCCCTACGCCCCTCCGTGCTACTCCCGCCCCGTGTCCCCTCGCGACCCCCGCCCTGTCCTCACCTCCCGTGACGGCCCCGCTCCCGTCCCGCAGCTCCGCCGCCGCCGCTGCCCCCCGCAGCCTCACGTCACCGCGCCCGCCCTGACGCCACCGCATTCCCAGCGCCCCGCATCCAATCGGAGCAGCCCGGAAGTGAGTACCGCGTTACCACGGCAACGGCCCAAGCTCGCCCCGCCCCCTCTCTGTCGCACGGCGCCCCCTGGCGGGCTCAGGACGCACATCTCCTTCTCGCGTGAAAGGCGCGGGACATCATGGGAAATGTAGGCGCTGCCAGCGGGCGCGCTAAGTAAAGAGGGAGGGGTGGAGGCACAAAATGGCGCCGGGGGGGGGGGCGCCTGACCTGGGGAGCTATGAGGCTTACCCTCCGCTCCCCAGCACCTCCCTCTCGTTCTGTTCTTATACTGTGCTCAAAGTTCTTGGACTGGGTTGAGCTTACACCCTCATGCCTTGGGTAAACCACAGTGCCGGCTGATGGAATCGGTGGTATGTTTTAAAGCACAAGCCTCATTCGCGCTGTGGTTGATGATGCCCCTCATTAATGAGATGTAACCACAATTAAGAACAGGCCTGGCACTGCTTTCAGGGAGTTACAGAGAGCTACACTGTCTCTCCTGAGCTTCTTCCAGACTAAATCCCAGTTCCCTTAGCCACTAGTTGTTAGATTTGTGCTCCAGACCCTTCACAGCCTTGCCCTTCTCTGGACGTGCTCCAGGGCTTTGATGTCTTTCTTGTAGCGAGGACCTCCTTGCAACCTTTCTGCAGGAGTTTATCCTTAGGGTGAGGTGCTGGTGCACATCCCAGCACTGCACGCCTGCTGCTGACTCAGGCAGGTTGCTGCTCCTGAAGGATGGGACAGGCCTGGCTGCTCACAGCTTGGCAGCCAACCAAAGGCAGTGCTGACATTGGAGCCTGACATTCCCTCCACGCCTGTCCTCATAGCATTAATTCTGGTGCACAGGAACTAGGCTGTTCAGAGCAGAAGCGACGTTCTGATGAGTTGCTTTTAAGGAAAGTTGGTGCAGCCCTAGAGCTGGTGAGAGGTGATGGCACGGTCACCCCCGCATGCCTCCTAGGGTCATAGAGCCCTTCTGACAAAGCTGAGGTTGTGTGGAGGTGGCTCTTTTCCTCCTGGCATAGGTGTGGCATGGCACCAATCCCAACACCGCTCAGGGAAAAGGTTGAGCTAATGGGCTGATGAAGGATGGTGCTGCCTCCCATCAGCACATTTCCACCCAGCCCATTTCCTTCCCGCACGGTCCTGGTTCCTCCCTCTGCCTGAGGGTCTCATGGGGCTGCAACTGCTGTGCTGGGGTCACCTGGGGAGCTGCAGGGATCAGTGCCACACCTCGATGCAAGAAATGGCACACTGTCATATCAGAGCCAGGCAGAGACTCCAGGTCTGCCTGGAGACTGTGTAGGGTTGTCACGGCCATACAGCACTGCTCAATAGCCCGCAGTACCCAGCACAGTGAGGAGGAGGAGGAAAGGTGACACATTTGAGCTGCCACAGCCCTTGGCTAGCAGGACGGGTCCCCGAGGCCGTCATCACGAAGGCTGCAGCCACCCGTGCCCCCTCTGAGCTGCGTGGGACTGGGGCACGGGGCTACTGGGCACCCCCACAGACACACAGAGCTGCTTTGTACAGGGGCAGCCACGTCATGCACATGGGCCTGCAAACACAGCCTCTCTGTGAAAATAACCGTAAGAAAAGAGCACTGTAAAAACCAGGGGGAGGAAGAGCTCTGTGAGCAACCGCTCAAAGCCATGCCAGTAGGAAATAGATTGCAATCTCCTCAACGAACTGCAGTTAAACTGCATCATGAGCTACTGTGAACCTGGGTTTGGTGCAGGGCTTGCTAACGATGTGTTTTCAGAAGGGGCCCTTCTGAAATAATGCAGTGTCCAAAGTCACAAATAGGACTGTATTTAACAGAGGGGCTTGAAAAAATGAAACTCCACGTTTGTGGGGTTTTTGTGTGCAAGGAGGTTGGCCAGGAGACTTTTGGCTTTTGTTCTCGTCGTTTAGGGAACAAATTAATTGAAGGAGACAGACCAGGCTGATGCCACTGAAGGGAGCTGACACAGCCACCTACTGCCAGAGCAGAGCCAGCCCTGTTGCCTTGGGAATTCTTTCTACTGCTTTCTGCAGGCCTTGGACTGAACCTGAAATGGGGCTCTGAAAAGGGTCTCCTGCAATTCAAGGGTGAGGACATTAGCCCAGAGCCCCGTTCCCTTCCTATAAATTAATTATAAGCAGGTGCTGGCACTCCCAGAAGATACCCATTGCAATTCATCATCTACAGACACTTCTCTGTTCCTCTTGGCCCTCCTAAACCAAACCACACTCCACTGGGTCAGTATTCATTGGTTGGGCGCTTTTCTATGCTGGGAATCCAAACCGTGCACTGCACACGAAGCAAGTCAGGTTCCTGCAGGGCCACAGATATGCAGGGAATAAGGTTTATGGGCCAGTGGCTCCAAAAGCTTTATTACTTCTTGGTTTATATTGACATCTATGTGACTCCAGTGACTTAACAACCACTTTCAGGGAATGCACGTGTAGTTAAGGACATACTGGTCCATCTGGTCATTGCCAAAAGTGCCCTTTGTGTAGGGGTAGTGAGAAGGCACCGCTCAGTCCCTAAAGCTGCCCTGGAGGCCCCTTTTGAGGACAACGTGTCCAAAGGCACAGTGGATGATGCTGCTTGCACAGCCAGTAGAAACCACGGGGGAATGGCAGTCCTGGGCCACACAGTCCAGACCCACTGGTGGCATCTTCAGGCAGTGTTGAAACCAGTGTCTGGTGTGCAGGGAGGTGAATCCAGACCACACACCTGGGCAGCCCAGAGGAGGAAATGGCCCTGCTGTGTTCTCCCAAAGTTGGGCTGAGTTCTTGGCAGTTGTGGCTGCAGCATGGAGCATCTCTGCTCTGCATGTAGTCAGTCACCTATGGGCTTGGTGCTGGTCTCTGCTGATCTCCAACCCGAGATGACCATGCTGACCAGGCCTGCTGGGCTCTGCCATCCTGCTACTGGTTGGAGGGCTCTGTGGCCATGGTGTCTGCATCTGAAGACGGCAGTGGGCTGCTGCTCCCGCCATTGCTCACGTTCTCTTTGCTGCTTTCCCTCATGGGGTCACTGCCTTTATCCTCTACTTTCTGCTTGAGTTTGAGGGAGGAATCTCTCCGGCACATGAGGGGTGGGTAGCCAGCAAAACCTCCTCCACTCATGTTTGTACGTTTGTCTGGAAACAGATTTAAAAAAAAACAATTGTCTGTCTTCTCCGAGTGTCCCAAAGAAGAGGACAGGACAGGAGAACCAGCAGCAGCACTGAGCTGCGTGCCATGGGGAAGGTCTCCTACCTCCTGGCTCGATGGGGTGCATCAGGCGGTTCATCTGCACGTTCCAGTGCTTGACGTTGGTGCTGGCCTGCCTCAGCTTCCGCTGGGCTGCCTGCAAAGAGACAGAGCAGAGGTGACCCAGGACCACTGGCAGGAGTTTTCTCTTCCCTGAACCTGGGCTGGAGGCTCCCTCTAGGATGGAGGCAGCACACCCTCCTTTGGTCTTCGGCTCCTCCTGCTCCCAGCCCTCCCTGCTCCACACGTTCCCTGGCCTGACATTGCTACCCTCATAGGGACACGCCAAGAGCCAACAAATCACCCTATGGCACAGCTCAGAAAATCCCAGAGCAGTGCAGTGAGGAAATGCCAGCATTTTCTACAGCACCCACCCCATCAGCAGACTTCTCAAAATAGCATCTGCCAGTGCAGCAAAATGGGGGCAGAGCGGCCACAGCCTCTTCCCTGCTTCAGTGGCTTTATGAGATGATCACCAGCCTGGCACAGCTCTGCAAACCTTCAGGAGGAAAACCTTAGATCTCCTCTCCCTGCTGCAGCTGATGTAACCCTGAAACCCAGCCTGGCTGCAGCAGGTTGCGTGACAGCAGGTCCCCAGGTTCTCTCCAGCATGGAGGTGACTCAGGGGAGGCCTGGAAAGTCCCCTGGGTCTTTCAGTGTGATAGGAAGAGGCACTAGGGTGATGCTCACCATGACGTCTTGGTCTACCCGCTGCCTGTTCACTCTCACTTCTTCCAGCTGCTTCTGGGCCTCTTCCAAACACTTGTTCTTGTTCTCCATCTCCTGCTTGAGGACTTGCTTCTCCAGCTGAGTTTTGATGATGTATTCCTCCTGCTCCTCCTTCAGTTTCATCAGCTGCTTCAGTTTCTCCTCTTCCTCAGCCAGTAGCCTGCCAAGAAAGTGCACAAGGTGAAGACATCCCTCTGCCACTTCATCCATCAGCTCCCCACATTCCTGGCATCAGAAGCACGCTGGCTCCCCAGGGAGCAATTGAGGACAGCTGAATCACCCTGGGGAGCATCTCTGACAGCCCTGCGCCTGGGAGGAGGGTCGGTGGAAGAGATGCAGGGAGGCTCTGCTCCTACCTGGCCTGTGCATATCTCACGGACTCCTCATCGTGCCGTGCTTTCACCTCCTGTTGCAGGGCCTCCTGGAGCCGCTCCTGCATCTCCTCCAGCTCCATGATGCGCTTACGCTGACGCTCAGCCTCCTCTTCCTTCAGGACCATCTCTGCCTGCATGGAGGCACGTGCCTGTGGCCGGGAGAGGAGCTGTCAGGGTGGCTGGGGCCTGATGTGCCACATGCCATGAGGAGCCCATGGGGAGAGCTCCAGGGCAAGGCTGTTTCCCTGCTTAGAGGAATGCTTCTTGAGGAGCCAGCATCAGCTGCAAGGATGGAAATAGGCTCTCTAGGCAGCCCAGCAGCCTCTCAGCTTCGTGTACCCTCAAGCAGTTTGTCCACATCTTGTTCCTTGGGTATCATGTGCTGACCCTCTGTCCCTTGTTCCCATGTCACGCATCACTGTGCATGCCCCCACTACCAGAGTTAGCAGCAGTGTTATTGCAAGAGGAGAACATGCTCCTAAAAGCTCTATCAACCCTCCCCAGGCTGACCAGGCCAAGGGACAGAGATGGGACAAGCGACGCAGCCCCACTGCAGGACCTGCCTTAGGTTTACCCCCACCTGCTCGGCTTCCCGCA